TCCTAATCTATTACCTAGGGAAGTGTCTATATTATTTATCCAAACGTAACTGGTATCGAATACACCATGCAGTAGGAATACGGGTTGTTTTCCTGAAATACCTTCTTTATTAGCAGATATTCTGTCAAGTGTAAGGATGTAACCATCTTCAGTGATAACAGTATGTGTTTCGGCACGATAACCTTTTTGTTGGATTATTTGAGTCTATTAAAAATTTATTGAACATTTATCGACTTATTTTATTTAATTTACTATCGTCATATCTAAGCATTAAAAGTGATTTCTTAAAAAAAAATGTATGACAAGGTATGTTTAGACAAAACATATTGTAATTGATAATGAAGAGAGATTATTTTTTGAAAATTTTTAGTGCTTATTAATACGCTTATTATAAACTACATACGGTAGTATGTGGAGTCTTTTTGGAATGCTTAACATGATCTCCCATAACATTGCTATGGTCACCAGCAACTAAAACCATTATTAATAGAAAAACAGTTTTCATTTTATACTACAGCAAATTTACAACTGAAAAAAAGTCAAAAGACAGGAATTTATAGGCAATTTTTGAAATGGTTATCTTTTACTTATACATGTTTTAATAGCTGTGGACATTATTGTAGATAACAATGTTTTTTTATTTTTCATACACATGTATAGATATGCATCGTATATGCCATTACGAATAATTCGATACTTTCAATTCCGCCTAGGCGCTAAACTGTATGAAGACAGTGATTGTTTCAAAACCGTCTATTAATTTAAACAGGACTAGTCTAGCAACTTAAAAATGGGTGACAAGTGTTTTATTTATCAATAATCACACTGACATTTCGCTTTTGGTGTAAAACTTCCTCATGGCTTGAAGCGCAATAAGTACGTACTTACTAGATTATAAGGTCACTTGTATGATAACAGAAAAGGTGCAAAAAACCATTATAGGTTACTGAATTTTACATAAATACAGTTAATAATGAGAGTGGTACTAAAATTAAAATTAAATTAATGCTTATTATTATCATTGTTAGTTCTTAATTTCTAGGGCGTGGTCCCTATCAAACACGAAGTTCTATTCAAAGAACCAAACATACATCATAATCTAATAACCGCAGGGGCAGTGTTAAACAACAGCTTTTTGCTTTATTGAGGGGTCGGTAAGAACTCGTGGCGGCAGGGTGTCGATATTGTCACCTTCTAAGAAAAAGCAACATCTGGGAGTAGTTTAAAATCAAATAAGGGTGACAAGCATAGAAAAATAAGTTTTTAAAGACAGTTCCTGTTGAGAGGTCACATCAAACACATTGTATAAGTTAGCCATTAGTTTTCAGTAGTTAAGAGANTTGACTTCCATAATAGAGTCCTCTGTTCTCCTATTCTTTCCAATACCTCTTCATTTCTAACCTTTTCTACCCACGATATCCTCATCATCCGCCTATAACACATTTCGAACGCTTCTAACCTTTTCTTTTCCACCGCTCCCACTGTCCATGTTTCGCACCCGTACAACGCCGTGCTCCAAACATAATTATAAATTATAAGAAATAATAATTTTCGCGGCGAGGATTGTAGATTACGTATACCTATTTTGCTGATTCATTTTTTTGACACCTATTCGACTTTTTTGGTTTGTATTCGAAAATGATATTTTGGAAACAGCTGCATGCCCCCTTTGTAACAGTCTCGCGTCCAGGGTTCACTATGATCTAACTATGAAATTTGATACATCGGAAATCATAATTATTACTTTATGTGTACGTCGACAATATCATGAGCCTAAGCTCTCATTCGCTAGATAGCCCTGTCCTATACGTAGATTTAATTATTATATTTTAACAAACGAAAGCATAAACTGCAGATCTTTACAACCCTATATTCTAAAAATTATCCTTAGATTAACATAATCTACGTAACAATCCAGTTGGACGATTAAATTAATACATTCGTAATTCTTCCCCTTATACCATTGAACAAGACTAATCAAGCAATTTAAAAGTGTGAAAAGTGTTTTATTTATCAATAATCACACCGGCGTTGCGCTTTTGGTGTAAAACTTCCTCATGGCTTGAAGCGAAATAAGTAGGTACTTGCTAGATTATAAGGTTACTTGTGACTTTCAAATTGCAGAAAAGATAAGCCGTTGCAAAAAACCGTTGTAGATCACCCAAGCTTACATAAATAGAGTTAATAATGAGCGTGGTATTAAAATTAAAAATAACATAGACAATCACAGTTAAAATAATAAGTTAGTAATGAATTAGCGAATATAAACCATGTGGTAACAAAAGGACAACACAATTAAAACTGTTTAGAGATAAAACAGAAGGTGACTAGTATGTTTGAAAAAAAAATAACTTAATGAAAAAATTAAAGGAAAGAAGGAAAAATCAGTTAGAAACAATATACTTATAATAGGTCAATTGAAAAGTCCCCGGCCTGACTCATAGATATCGGCACCATAACTAAATCCATATGATTTTCAGTTAGTCCGATCCTTCAAAAGACGCGTCTATAAATTTGACGGCTGTCGGATCATTAGTTTGTGAATTATAGCATTTTTAGTGAAGCAACTTTTGTTATTGTGAAAAAAATGGATAAAAAGGAATTTCGCGTGTTGATAAAATATTGCTTTTTGAAGGGAAAAAATACAGTTGAAGCAAAAACTTGGCTTGATAACGAATTTCCGGACACTGCCCCAGGAAAATCAACCATCAAGGATTGGTATGCTAAGTTTAGACGTGGTGAAATGAGCACCGAAGACGGTGAACGCAGTGGACGCCCAAAAGAGGCTGTTACGGACGAAAACATTAAAAAAATCCACAAAATGATTTTGAATGACCGTAAATTGAAATTGAATGAAATAGCAGACACTCTACAGATATCAACGGAACGTATACATCACATCATTCACGAATATTTGGGTATGAGAAAGCTCTGTGCAAAGTGGGTGCCGCGCGAGCTCACTTTTGACCAAAAACAACGACGAGTTGATGATTCAGAGCAGTGTTTGAAGATGATCACGCGTAATAAACCCGAGTTTTTGCGTCGATATGTGACAATGGATGAAACATGGCTCCATCATTTCACTCCGAAGTCCAATCGACAGTCATCGGAGTGGACTGCACACGATGAACCCGCTCCAAAGCGTGCAAAAACGCAACAGTCGGCTGGCAAGGTTATGGCGTCTGTATTTTGGGATGCGCGTGGAATAATTTTCATTGACTACCTTGAAAAAGGAAGGACCATCAACAGCGACTATTACATAGCGTTATTGGACCGTTTGAAGGACGAAATCGCCGAGAAACGACCGCATTTGCAGAAAAAGAAAGTCCTGCTTCACCAAGACAATGCACCGTCTCACAAGTCAGTGAAAACGATGGCAAAAATTCATGAATTGGGCTTCGAATTGCTTCCGCATCCACCGTATTCTCCAGATCTGGCCCCCAGCGACTACTTCCTGTTCTCAGATCTCAAAAGAATGCTCGTTGGGAAAAAATTTTCGTCGAATGAAGAGGTGATCGCCGAAACTGAGGCCTATTTTGAAGCAAAGGACAAATCGTACTACAAAAATGGTATCGAAAAGTTGGAGGATCGCTATAATCAGTGTATCACCCTTGAAGGGAATTATGTTGAATAAAAAAAACCAATTTTGCAAAAAAAATGTGTTTTACTATTTTAGGCCGGGGACTTTTCAATTGACCTGTTATTACAACTTAAATTAACTTAGCCTACTTATTTAACTTAAAACGTAAACTAATTTAATTTAGCTATTTTTCCTTCTTTTTTTTAATTTTTTTATGAATCGCACTAGTCACTTTCTGTTATATCTTTAAGCAGTTTTAATTTTGTTGCCACGTGTTTTTTAATTCGCTAATTTATTAATTTATTATTTTAATTGTGATCTATGTTACTTTTAATTTTAATTCCATGCTCATTATTAACTGTATTTATGTAAGTTTGGGTGCTCTACAATGGCTCTTTGCAACTTGTCGTACAATTGACATAATTTAGTAAGTGCCTACTTATAGCCCTGAGGAAATTTTATACCGAAAGCAAAACGTCGGTGTGATTATTAATAAATAAAACATTTTTCACCCTTTAAGTTGCTTGATTAGTCCTGTTCATTTGTAATAGGGGAAGAATTACGAATATATTAATTTAAACATCCAACCGGTTATGGGATCGTAAAGATGATCAGTTTATGCTGCCATTTGTTAATATATAAAAATTAAATCGGTAGGACAGGGCTATCGAGCGAATGAGAGCTTGGGCTCATGATGTTATCGACTTACACATAAAGAAATAATTATGGTTTTCGATATATCAAATTTTATAGTTAGGTCATAGTGAACCCTGTACTCTACCATGGCTACCATGTATGTATCTTTGAATAGAACTTGTTTGTGTGTGTTTGATACGGACCACGCTCAAGTGCTATCTAATTAGAAATTAAGAACTAAAAATGATAATAATAACCACTAATTTATTCATATAAACTAATTTAAACACTCTTGCCCTGTTCTTATAAACCACAATTTACATTTAACTCATATTGATAGCATTATAATACATAGATACGTTTAAATGTTAGTTAGCAAGCACCATTTGAAGCCAGTATAGCTTTGTAGAAATGTTAGTCAAAATTGAAAGTAGCGATTCATTCTAATTGACTTCAATAAACACCAAGTAAATTTTAAATAGCCTCTTAGTTGATAAGCATTTACATATTTATTTTGTATTTGCGATATCTAGAACACGAAATTTTTAAGTAAATTATTTACTTATTGTACATGAAATAGTAAAAAACATCGTAACTATTACTGTAATTTAGTCATGTGGAAACTCATAAATAATAAATAATTTGTTAGTTAACTATTTTCTTTAAGTACTTAATTTGTGTTTAATTGCAATAATCAGTAAAAGAACAGTCTGTGGAAGGATTTGCCAATTTTTATTCTATTATGGTAAATTTGAGTACATAGTATACAAAATAAATGTATGAATGAACAAGCAAAAATTTATTATCTAATATATTTGACAAAATATGGATTTCAAGACAAATTTTATTCCGTAGTACTTTGCGAATGGTTTAATCTGAATTACTGGTATTTTTTAAAAACCTCCACAATGTTGTTGTACACCAATTGTCTGGCGTGTCTTGAATAAATAAAATCGACATGGTTAAAATTTTTCACTTCTGTAAAGTTCTTATTATTCGGTAAACTGCCAGCCAGTTTTTTGCAATCCTAATAAAAAAAGAAAAAATGTCAACAATTAATATAGTAAAAAATTGTGACGGTTCCTTGATAGTTATACGTGAGGTTTCAACTGATTTGAATATGTAGATAATTCATTTCAAATCAATAAAGATTTAAGGTTCACATGTGAATCCCCCACAAATTGTGACTATATTTGATGTAATAATGTCGATTATCGAACCGGTTAATCAGTAATTTGATGTTGACTTAGCGTTCAGCCAGGTTAAACGACTATAGTTTTGTAACCACCAATTTGATTGGGTTAAGGTATGAATTAGTTGGGTGTGATGTAGACGGATGATGACAATACCGTAACAAAAAAGATTAGGAATGAGGAGGTTCTCATTAGAAAGAGTAGAAGTAGAAAAGGCATTCTGGAAGTCAATAAGAAAAGGAGAGGTAGGAGGGTGGTATACCTTCTGAGACATGAAAGAGATGTTAGAAGCACAAATAGGAAGAAAGAGGAGGAGGGGACTTATTTCGTGAAATTGGAAGATTAGCTCAGGACAAGAGGAAAGAGAAAGGGAAGACCTAAATTTGTGGAAATGCGAAGATTAGCACAGGATAGGAGAGAAGAACAGAGGAAGACTTACATTTGGGGAAATTGGAAGATTAGCTCTAGACAGGAGGAAAGAGGAGGGGAAGACATAAATTTGTAGAAATGAGAATATTAGCTCAGGATATAAGGGAAGAGTGAAGGAAGACTTAGGTTTGGGGAAATTGGAAGATTAGCTCTAGACAGGAGGAAAGAGGAGGGGAAGACATAAATTTGTGGAAATGCGTAGATTAGCACAGGATAGGAGAGAAGAGCAGAGGAAGAATTAGATTTGGGAGAATTGGAAGATGAGCTCTAGAGCTCTAGACAGGAGGAAAGAGGAGGGGAAGACATAAATTTGTAGAAATGAGAAGATTAGCTCAGGATATAAGGGAAGAGTGGAGAAAGACTTGGGTTTAAGGAAATGCAAAGATTAGCTCAGAATAGAAGGGAAACGCAGGGGAAATGCGGAGATTAGCTCAGGATAGGGTGGAGTGGTGGTGGTTCAAACAGTGTTAGGACNAGTTTTTTGCAATCCTAATAAAAAAAGAAAAAATGTCAACAATTAATATAGTAAAAAATTGTGACGGTTCCTTGATAGTTATACGTGAGGTTTCAACTGATTTGAATATGTAGATAATTCATTTCAAATCAATAAAGATTTAAGGTTCACATGTGAATCCCCCACAAATTGTGACTATATTTGATGTAATAATGTCGATTATCGAACCGGTTAATCAGTAATTTGATGTTGACTTAGCGTTCAGCCAGGTTAAACGACTATAGTTTTGTAACCACCAATTTGATTGGGTTAAGGTATGAATTAGTTGGGTGTGATGTAGACGGATGATGACAATACCGTAACAAAAAAGATTAGGAATGAGGAGGTTCTCATTAGAAAGAGTAGAAGTAGAAAAGGCATTCTGGAAGTCAATAAGAAAAGGAGAGGTAGGAGGGTGGTATACCTTCTGAGACATGAAAGAGATGTTAGAAGCACAAATAGGAAGAAAGAGGAGGAGGGGACTTATTTCGTGAAATTGGAAGATTAGCTCAGGACAAGAGGAAAGAGAAAGGGAAGACCTAAATTTGTGGAAATGCGAAGATTAGCACAGGATAGGAGAGAAGAACAGAGGAAGACTTACATTTGGGGAAATTGGAAGATTAGCTCTAGACAGGAGGAAAGAGGAGGGGAAGACATAAATTTGTAGAAATGAGAATATTAGCTCAGGATATAAGGGAAGAGTGAAGGAAGACTTAGGTTTGGGGAAATTGGAAGATTAGCTCTAGACAGGAGGAAAGAGGAGGGGAAGACATAAATTTGTGGAAATGCGTAGATTAGCACAGGATAGGAGAGAAGAGCAGAGGAAGAATTAGATTTGGGAGAATTGGAAGATGAGCTCTAGAGCTCTAGACAGGAGGAAAGAGGAGGGGAAGACATAAATTTGTAGAAATGAGAAGATTAGCTCAGGATATAAGGGAAGAGTGGAGAAAGACTTGGGTTTAAGGAAATGCAAAGATTAGCTCAGAATAGAAGGGAAACGCAGGGGAAATGCGGAGATTAGCTCAGGATAGGGTGGAGTGGTGGTGGTTCAAACAGTGTTAGGACTGGCTTCCCTATAATTAAAAGTGTAAATGTTAGCTAACAGGTAGAACGGTATATTCGTCAGAAATTCTTGAGCCGGCAATTGCTGGCATCGATGGGTCTTAGCCTACAAATTCACGTATCTCAGGGTGCTTTTTGTTTATTAGTGGTAGCTGGTAGTTCACACACAAAACTACTGTGTCTTTCTTTTAGTTAAAATAGAAGTAGCCGAGTAGTAATCCTTTATGCCTTTTATACCCAGTTATCACGGGCTAAAGTTTAAAATTTAACAACTAGTATCAAGCAGTCTTTGTTTGTTTTACAAATAAAGGTTTTTAGTACCTATACTTTTCGCCTTTTCAGGACATCATCAGGAGTAGGTATAAAAAGATACAACTGAATACGAGTATTTACGGCAACTATTTTTGGTACTAGTTCTTTTTAATTAAATTATTTCAAAGGCAGCTTTTTCTTGCACTATTCATTTATGATGTCTGGAGCGCTACCATAACCACAAGGAATCGCCTAACAAGGGTTATTGGAAAGTAATTTTTTTAGGTGGTTCTTAGAAAACGGACATTTTCCGATTACTCTGTAATAATGTGTCATTTATCTTATTAATTCTACCACCTTTCGATAAAACTACAAAGTAAGAGGTATCGATACTTACATATAACATGGTTCTGCTTCATCCTCAATAAGGAGAAAATATTATACTAAAGTATTATAGAAATAAGTCGAAATGTACGCATCATTTACTGCGTGTGAAACAATATACCTTAGGTGCGTGATTGAATTTATTTTACTGAAAATGTCTGACCGAAAACTTAGGGTGCCTTCATTTTCTATGATTACAGTTTTACCTTTGGTGTTACCAGCTTATCGTTTTTTCCACAATATATATAAGTTGGTACTTTAACTTTCGAAAGGTTGTAGGATGGAATATTGCGAACGCCGTACATTTCTAAATTTCCTTCTGGACCATAGTCGTACTTTTGAAATTTGTCAGTTCTGAAAAGTTGACCAAAATGAATTCCATCCTTAACTGAAACACTGGCGCCTTGATGTCCATAGAACTGCGGTAGGACATTCTACAAAACTTGGAAAAGTTAGCCAAATGTTCACATTTTATCAAACTTGTATTTTACAGTTGGGATTTCGTGTCCATCGAACCCATTAAGTATATACATTAGTTCTCTGCAAAGAAAGGCTGCGAATGGGGTATCTTCGCAATGATATGCCACAAATTGGTATAAGTCCAATACATTAATATGTGTTACGCCCAAAACCTCAAACAGCCACTGCAAAATACCGTACATGATATTTATCAAATTAATATCAATTTTAAATGGTAATAATGTGAATATTGGGTAATATAGTTAACAACCACAGACTCTAGTTAGATTTTTACGGAAAATGACCCTGTGTTAAACTCTTTGAAACTTATGATTCTGGTGGTTTTCGACATGTAAATAAAAATACTGAATGAGTGCTAAGTCGTAAAAATTTATCTTTTTGAAATATGGTCTATATTTATATTCTTGAAAGTAATCAATACATATATAATAGGAGTAATTGCACCTTGGAAGTCTTTACGGAATAATATAACTTTAATGAAAAACATGAGGTTTTCCGACTTAGCGCCCATTGAGACTTTCGATGTACATGTCGAGAACTACCAGAATCCAAAGTTTCAAAGAGTTTGACAGAGGACCATTTTCTGCTACTAATTGCATGTGCATTAAGTAATGTTTGACAATTTCCGTTTAAGGATATTGACTTGTAAAACATGAACCCACGGCGTAGTAGTAGCAGTTTACATGACGAGTATGTATGCTTAACAGGACAAGTTCTTAGTTAGGCGTGGTTCGCGATTTCCATCCCTTTGGATCTCATTAGGTCGTCGTACGGTTTTGACAGATCACTGAGCAAGAACTTTTGCTCCATAGTTACAAATAAAATTTAAATTTAATATTGAAATACAGGTAGTATATCGCCATCTATTAGTGATTTATGCTAATTGTAATATTTGGTGAGGACCTTACAAAGCTCTACCTGTCAAACTGCAGAGAAGCATTCTCCCTTTAATATTATATAGTAGATCCTCTATAACTCGAACATCAAGGGAGACGCCAAACAATTCGAGTTATAGAGTTTTCTCAAGCGGATTTTGATTCGACTTGTAAAGGTTAAGATTTGTTGTACTTACATTACCGGCAAATCTTTAAAGTTAATAACTTAGTTTTTTTCGAACTATAGACGTAATAAGTTTCAAATTAGCGAGTTATGAAGGTTGTAAAATGAAACATTGCTATGTTCGAGATTCAGAGGTCCAATTTAATTTTTCGGTAAATGTCTAGATGATGGCCCTCATCCCTGAAGGGGGTGTGGGCGGGTGGGATCGAAAGAGGAGGTCTCCCCCACCACTGTATCATAAAAAGTTCGTGGCGTTCTCACCCCCATAAAAAGTTAGGGTGTTAGATGGGGGTGGGGATTGAGGGTAGGGCGAATCGAAAGAGGGTGGTCACCTGAACAAAACTCCATAAAAAATTTGCGGCGGTCTCACCCCCATAAAAAGTTATGGGGGTTGAAAGTTGATTATTTTGACAGTTTTGATACACTATAATTCAAATAAAATTCAATAAAAAAAATATTTTCAAGCGGGTGGAGGTGGGGGATCCAAAGAGTGTGGTCACTTGAACAAAACCCGATAACCTAACCGAACCTAACCTAACCTACCCTATTGATAAAGCTATTTAAATAATGTTTTATATAACTTTTTCAATATTTTTATGTATTTTTCATTAGTTTTACCTTTGAATATTGTTTAAGAATGACTATATAAATATTTACATGCCTATAAATGTATAAAAATTGGCATATTTATAAATTTTGAACCCCCATAACTTTTTATGGAGATGTGACCGCCACTAACATTTTATGGTACAGTGGTGGGGGAGACCTCCTCTTTCGATCCCCCTTCGAGGGTGGGGGCCATCAACTAGACCTTTACCAATTTTTCGAGTTATAGAGGGAAAATATGTACCAAAATGGCTTGCAGAGAATCACTGATTATTTCGACTAATAGAGGGTTGGGATTTCAAGTAATGGGAGTTTTGGAGTTTGAAAGGAAGGGAATAAAAAATTTTTCGAGTTTTGGAGGTTTTCAACATAGCGAAGTTCTACTGTGTTATCATCATCATAAGATTGTCAATCCTAAGACTGGTTGGACACGCACGTCCACGCTTTCCTATCCTAATCTAATCTTCGCATTTCCCTAAAACTAGAACAACCCATATCCTTAACTATCTGCGAACAGCAATCTAATCTAGGTCCACCTCTACCCCTCCTAACTTCTGTTTCTGCTTCTAATATGTCTCTGACTAGACCTTTATGCCTGAGAAGGTGTCCTACTAACCTATCTCGCCTATTACTTATTGACTTCTACAGAGTCCTCTGTTCTCCTACATTTCTAACCTTCTCTATCCACGGTATCCTCATCATTCGACTGTATTAAAAATTATAAAAATACAATATTAAGAGTATATATTAAATGAGTAACAAAGGGTAAAAGTTAGTCTTAGAACGAAGAAAAATCGTTGTTTTGAAGCGAGTTCCTACTACAGGCTTTTGTGCTAAAAAATAAATGTAAAATTCATATAAAAAGAAAGAATATAATTTGGGTTCCTGTTGTATATTCCTATAATAACGTTAAGTCTGTTGAAACAACAATATAAAAAAAACTGTAAGTTCAAATTTAAAAAAAAAATACAACGTATAATTGTACAACACGCTACTGAAATGAAACTTCTTCAAACACACAAACATACCGGGATAGGGGTTAAGGAATTGGTTTAATGGTATTATTTGTACACTATGCTTCGCACGGGTGCAATACTGATAGTAAATATACTATAGAATGTCCTTATATACAACAATCACAGTTTTTTTGTCATTAGACAATACAAACCGTACGGTACCGCCGCAACCGCTGTGTCCCTGCATATATTCATTTAAATAACATGCTTTATAGGGCTATATTGATCTATATTAAATGAACAATGTATTTAAAAGTAGTTAATTGGATGAGGATTAATGCTGTATTGCTTAAAATCGCTTCGTAAATAAGCCATTATTTCTCGTAAACAGTAAAGGATAACAAACGGTTATCCCGAAGAAATAGAAATATACCATCCTGGACTTTTTTGTAGACCTTTTTAAGGTGTGCAATACTGTAGTATATTATTTTGATCTATCTCGTAGGGTTCAGCCAGCGTTTGCAATGTAAACGCAAAATAATGTTTTTATTTACGACATTACAAACCTCTAAAATTATCAGTGTTTCTCTACTATATTATGCATGTATTGTACATATAAACCTTCCTCTTGAATTACTCTATCTATTAAAAAAAAACGCATTAAAATCCGTTGCGTAGTTTTAAAGAACTAAGCATACATAGGGACAGACAGCCAGGGAAATGCGTTGCATGATTTCGTTACATAGCAACTCGCATGAAACGAACTTACCCTACCGTGAGTAAAGAAGTTTCACTTCAAAAAATTGACATGAATAACTTTTCACAATTGCAACTATATTACTCTAAATCATATGGATTCAGTAACAAATTGTGGACGTACCTTATTGTCAACAAGAAATAAAATTGCTGCTCTGGTAACTCTATTTGCATGTCCTAAAAAGACAGCAGGTGCCAAGGTGAAGGCAATCTTAATATTTTTGGCGGCGATTTCGGGAAACAATGAAGCATACACGTAAAATAGAGTACCACCTTGGGAATGGCCAACATAAAATATATCGTTGCTGGCGTTTGTTTTGTTAAGTATGTAATTTATGCAAGCTGGTAGGTCGTAAACACCCATTTCGTTAAAACTGCAAATTTAAATAAGTAGGTAGTTTGTCCAATTTTGATAAGATATATTATCTACGTTTTATACTGTACTAACATGGTATTAGTTTATTTACAAGTAAAATATTACCTAAAATTCCAATATTGCGGACTTGATGGGAAGTATTCTAGGTGAGTGCTTGAGTATGGATTTCCTCTTGAATTTCCTATCCAAACGTCGAAATTTTCATCAGACAGCAAGAAAGCTAAAATATTTTGTGTATTTCATCAGTACCTTCTGTAAACGTGCGTTATTCTCGCTATTTATGAGTGAAGAGATTCTTAAAGATACCATGAATGCAGAGAAAAAACTTGTATGGAATGATATGAAATTAATTATAGTAAAAAATTAATATTCTTAATCAGCACAATTTTACAAACAATGAGGTCAAATGAAACATTGGAAACGATTTACTCTTTTAGTTTTAGTAAAACTTCTAGATTTATATCACCATTTTAATTAAAACGTTCACGAAAAGAGCACCAGCAACATTAATGTTATTTATAAAAAACGACAATGACATCTAATTGTTGGTATGTATAATATATTACCTAAGGAGATTTCTACATAATTTACCCAATCATTACTAGTATCAAACACACCATGTTGCAGGAAAACGGGCTGTTTTCCTGGAACACCTTTTTTATTAGCATATATTCTGTCAATTGTAAGGACGTAGCCATCTTCAGTGATAACAGTATGAATTTCTCCATGATAGCCTTCTAGTTTGATTATTTCGGCCTAAAAATGTATTCATATAAAACATTTTTGAATATACGCATGTAGATATGTGCGTCAATTTAAAGCATTCGGAAACAGGCATTTGTTATTTAGTACTAAAAACTTTTATTTTGAATTGTCCGCGTTTCTGTCCTCTCATTTTATGATTCTACAAGATGTTTAGGAACTATACAGACAAATACAACTACGTATAGTAATGATCTAAACGCAAAAATGAACTTTGGTGGAAACTTTTTTGGAAACATATTTTTTTACCACCCTATTGAAACACTTGCGCGACCATAAAAGTAAGGGAGAGGGAGGCGTATTGCTTGGCTTGACAAGATAAGACAAGAGGGTAGGTAATGATGAGCCTAGCAAGTCCAATAATAATTCTCTTAAGTACAAATCTTTCTATTTACAGACACAATAATTAATTGTCTTAAATGTTGAAATTTTCTACCATATATGCGAGCACGTCGTGTCAATAGTAGCGATAGTTATGAGAGTTATGAAAACTCGAGAACTTACCCCTCCTTCGATGCATAAATTGATCCTTCCTCCAACGTATAAATTGACCGTTCAGCGAATAAAACTGTACAAGGTACTTGAAAGAAGTAAAAAATATCGGAAAAAAATGGTTTGTCTCTATATTTTAACTTTGTGTTGTCCAAACAGAAATAAAAAACATTTACCCCAAGAACATTTTTGTAGATTTTATTTCTATACTTATTTCAAACAGTAGCTGTAGTAAAGCAAACTGAAAATTTCATTTACTTAGAATTATTATTTTTTTTTTTCAAAAAAAGAATATATTAAAGTTGCTTCATACAGTTTAACTAATAACAGGTCAATTGAAAAGTCCCCGGCCTAAAATAGTAACACATTTTTTTTGCAAAATTCGTTTTTTTTATTCAACATAATTCCCTTCAAGGGTGATACACTGATTATAGCGATCCTCCAACTTTTCGATACCATTTTTGTAGTACGATTTGTCCTTTGCTTCAAAATAGGCCTCAGTTTCGGCGATCACCTCTTCATTCGACGAAAATTTTTTCCCAACGAGCATTCTTTTGAGATCTGAGAACAGGAAGTAGTCGCTGGGGGCCAGATCTGGAGAATACGGTGGATGCGGAAGCAATTCGAAGCCCAATTCATGAATTTTTGCCATCGTTTTCACTGACTTGTGAGACGGTGCATTGTCTTGGTGAAGCAGGACTTTCTTTTTCTGCAAATGCGGTCGTTTCTCGGCGATTTCGTCCTTCAAACGGTCCAATAACGCTATGTAATAGTCGCTGTTGATGGTCCTTCCTTTTTCAAGGTAGTCAATGAAAATTATTCCACGCGCATCCCAAAATACAGACGCCATAACCTTGCCAGCCGACTGTTGCGTTTTTGCACGCTTTGGAGCGGGTTCATCGTGTGCAGTCCACTCCGATGACTGTCGATTGGACTTCGGAGTGAAATGATGGAGCCATGTTTCATCCATTGTCACATATCGACGCAAAAACTCGGGTTTATTACGCGTGATCATCTTCAAACACTGCTCTGAATCATCAACTCGTCGTTGTTTTTGGTCAAAAGTGAGCTCGCGCGGCACCCACTTTGCACAGAGCTTTCTCATACCCAAATATTCGTGAATGATGTGATGTATACGTTCCGTTGATATCTGTAGAGTGTCTGCTATTTCATTCAATTTCAATTTACGGTCATTCAAAATCATTTTGTGGATTTTTTTAATGTTTTCGTCCGTAACAGCCTCTTTTGGGCGTCCACTGCGTTCACCGTCTTCGGTGCTCATTTCACCACGTCTAAACTTAGCATACCAATCCTTGATGGTTGATTTTCCTGGGGCAGTGTCCGGAAATTCGTTATCAAGCCAAGTTTTTGCTTCAACTGTATTTTTTCCCTTCAAAAAGCAATATTTTATCAACACGCGAAATTCCTTTTTATCCATTTTTTTCACAATAACAAAAGTTGCTTCACTAAAAATGCTATAATTCACAAACTAATGATCAGACAGCCGTCAAATTTGTAGACGCGTCTTTTGAAGGTTAGGACTAACTGAAAATCATGGATTTAGTTCTGGTGCCGCCATCTATGTGTTAGGCCGGGGACTTTTCAATTGACCCTAGTATATCCACCGGAAGTAATAATTTTTCGTTTAGTCTTGGTTTTAGTTTTGGTCTTATTCATTCGGCCTTGGTATTGGCCTTGGGAAAATTCAAGACCAAGATCAATTTTGCCCATTATCATTGCTACTTTTAATCACAAGAAGTCGTTAATGGGGGGGGGGTGAGTTAGCTTTTGTGACGTAATGTTGGTTAGGCGATCGCTGAAAGTGTGAGTTAGCGTGACGAAGGGGGGGAGGAGTTCAAAAAGGTGAAATTCTGAGTGATGGACGACTCCTTATTGCTTATGTCTTAGAAATAGGTCTTCCAGAACGGAACTAAAGAAACTTAGATTTTCCAATTTTCACAGTTTTTCTCGCACTTTTCGATTTTGATTTTGACTTCAAAAAAGAAGATTCTCAATTCGACAGTACTTCTTTTGTGTATATACGCGTTTGATTTGCCGGTTATGAACCGATTTTAAGGGTGGTCCCATATAAATTTGAAGGAAATATTCCACCTTTAAGGGTGGAAAATTAAGGAATGATTCCCGTTTTTAACTTTTTAGTTTCAGTTTGAATCTATAATAAACAGTAAATGCGGGTCGTATTTTCTTCCCGTGGTGCGTAATATACGATTGATTATGCTGCATTAATTTCTGAATAACTACGTCTAACTGCTAAACCTAATTTGGTACTAGCCTAAAGCCGAGAATACGACTGAGAATCGTTGTCATTTGTTCGCATTCGTTTGCATTCTTTGGTGAATTGTAAGCAGTCATTTGCGGTGATTTGCAATGAATTTTGATTTGAATAGTTAGCAAAGCGAACAAACGTTTTCCATCTTCTGTCAATAAACTCGAAAAGATGAAGGAGAAATGCAAGTTAGGTCCACGAATGCTGCTGGGAAGCGTTCGTATGTGGAAGTGTTTAAAATAATGTTCAGTAGAACTTCTTAGAATTTGACGAGACAGGTTAGTCTTTATCAATAAAATCACACAGAATCAAAAAGGAACAAAGAATTAACTACTTTTCAAAGATAATAACACGAGAATTTCTTCACTACTTTGAAACTACAAAATCTGATATTTTAAACGTCTATTTACCACTGTGTTTGTCCTCACTACAATACAGCCTTTAAATAATAAAATAAAAAGGTGATTACTAATACTTACATACCAATGGAATGTAAGTGGAACGTGGTAGAACGCTGGCATTTGTAAATAGGGGTGGATAATTCGTTTCGTGTGTCACTTCATCCAGTAAGGTTGCCGCGAATGTCTACGAACAACCAGCAATGACGAATGCGAACGAATGTTAAATATTCTCAATGTATTTCCGGCTTAAGGCAATATTCATTTTCATTTCTTTATACCTGTATCCGTTGAAGTAACCTATTACTATTAAATTATAAATTACTTACAGTAGTAAGTGAAGGATTTTTGATTTGGGTAACATTGCCATCAACAAGATAATTTTGACTAACACTAAAAGTCAGTGCTAAAAGAAATGCGGCATGCATTTTTACTTTTCAAATTCACAAGTGAGTAAAACAAATTGATGTTTTCAATTCTGTTTTATTTTTTTGCCGGGCTTGTTATTACTAGTACGTTGTTAGGTAAAAGTTTTTAATAAACGTGCGTATGTTAATAGATAGGAATTGTTGTAGAACGGTATTCATAAGAGATAACCAAATGCATTTTTACGGCATACTTCTACTAAGGAAATGTGACGCTTGCGGTTCATTAATTTTATTTTAACGATTTTTTTAACTTGGAAATTTTTTATTACGATAGAAAGTAATTTTCATTGATATTTTTAATCACAAGAAATCGTTTATAGGGGAAAGGGTGGACCAGCTTTTATGGCGTTATATTTGTTAGGCGAGGGGGTCGCTGAAAGTGTGACTTAGCATGACGAAGGGGAAGGAAGGGGGTCAAAAAGGTGAAATGTTGAGTGAGGAGAGTAGGAGAATAGAGACGTATTAGAAGGAAAAACAGGAGTTAATAGGTGCAGAGACTGACTTACTGTTCGCAAATAGTTAAGGATGTAGGAAAATGCGATGATTAACTCAAGATAGGAAAGAGTGGGGGTGCGTGTCTAACCAGTTTTAGAACTGACGACCCAATGAATGATGATTTATTTTTTACATGTCCATAAATATTATATATCATAAATATTATATATCAAAAAATTATGAGTGCTGTCAGCACAAGGCCAAATAGTATTACGTAAATGAAAGTTAGTATCAGCAATTTCTTATACTGAAGTGTACGATGTGTTGCATACCTACTTACAAACAATTCCTTTAAATTTTAATCATTGGTTACTATACATCTATTAAAAAACCATCATGGCCGACATCAGTGACAACACGACTACATTTGAAAAAGAATGATGGCCGACAACAGCAACAATTAGAAAATAATGATGGCCGACATCGGTAACAATGCGACAACAATTGAAAAAGAATGATGGCCGACAACAGCAACAATTAGAAAATAATGATGGCCGACACTACGTCATAGTGTTATTCACAAAACTGAACAGTGACTAATAGCGAGAAAGAACTAGTATATCTAAAAATATTTATCAGGTACGTTAGTGACGTTAATTTAGAAATTCGAAAAGAATTGCTGAAGGTGTACGTTTGGAACGCGGCGTTGTACAGGTGCGAAACATGAACGTTGGGCGCGGCAGAAAAGAACAGGTCAGAAGCGTTCGAAATGTGGTGGTTAAAAATGGAGGTGCTGTCTAGCCAGTCTTAGGACTGACGACCTTATGATGAAAATTACATTTCCAAAAAACATCTCCTTACAAACTTGCAATTTACCTTTAAATCGCCTTACGCAACGAAATTCGAAATCTCAGTTTTGTTGTTGTTTATTACCAATAAAGTATTTCTTTATCCCGTATTGCCTTGGTTATGATTTTTGTAATTATACTCTGAACAGAGCAAGAAATAGAAGTTATTTTTTTTATCTACATATGCATATTGCGTATTTACGCATATATAAGAAACAACTTGCAAAATATAGTCAAATAGTACCTATTTTATTTCGTAACATGGTATTATTACATTATTTTACTAAATTTGTGGACGTATTTTTTTGCGGAAATGGTAATTACTGCAATTTTATTTAGTTTAAAGAAATCCTTGGTACGTTATCGGTTTAGCGATACTAGTTAGCAACACTATTTGCTTTGCTTTAACTACAATTTCCGTGTGGAACAATAACAAGATACACTTTAGTGCTTAGATTATAACGAAGGGACAATATTTAATAGTACATCTTCTTCTTCAATAGAGGGTATATCGAGTAATGGTTGATCTTCAGCTTCTATTTGATTTAAAAACTTCAAAACTGTTGAGTATACCAATTCCTTAACATCTTTTGCAAAAAGAAAATCAACGTGATTAAACGTTTCCAATGGAACCCTGTAAACTGCCTTGTTTAATTTCAAATCTTGACCAAGTCGTTTGACATCCTAAAAATTGAATAGTATAAATGCTGTGGATCAAGAAATAAATGCTCGATGATTATGAATAATGACAAGCTACGAAATTAATAATTATAATTTGAAAATTCTTTATCTATCAGATTGCCTCGACATTATGAATATTGGTATGTGGTTCTCGGGCAATCTGATAAATGACTAATACACAGGATTTAGAACCGCTTCGTATTAAGTAGAAATTTTAAGTCTGATTATTGATAATTATGGTAATGTCCAGTGAATTTAAGTTTGTATTATGATAGGTCAACAGACTGCCTATTTTGTTTTCAAATATTGATTCTACTATTGAAATAAAAATAACAGCAATTTTTATTGTTCGGTAATTGTCTAGTTTAGCACCTACACCACCTTGAATTTTTGCTTAAACAAAGATAATCTTGTGACATTATTCTGACATGTCAGCCCGCCTGTGGCGCATAGGGTTAAAGAGACTCTGGTCTGTCATAAATCTCCCTAACCAAACAATGACGTAACCAAATAGATATTGGTACATCTTCAGACAGCCTGCAGTATTTTTGTCTATTTTATATATCATAGGCCATCACCTATTGTTTTCCACGTTCGAAAATTACGCTTCATTTTAATTTTGGCGCTCAACATATACCAGGTGTACAAGCTTAAATCCGCTGTTTGCTCATAGATGGCGTCAGTGAGCATATCAAGCTGATATGTACACGCCATATTGTTTTTTTTATGAGTACGACATCTGTCAATAATACGTACTTTTTCTTTTCTGTAAACATGTCTAGTTTTGTGCCAAAAAAAAAGCATTTGCGGGAAGCTCTACTTTTCTGCTTCAATTTGAAGAAACCAGCTGCTGAATCGCATCGAATGCTTATGGAGGCCTACGGTGACAATGCTTTATCGGAAACAACGTGCCGAGATTGGTTTCGTCAATTCAAAAATGGCAATTTCGATTTGAGCGACAAGGAGCGTGAAGATCGGTCCAGGAAATTTGAGGACCACGAATTGAAGGCTCTTTTAGACGAGGACGATACCTAATCGCAGAAAATCCTTGCCGAGCAATTAGGTGTTTCTCAACAAGTCATTTCCATGCGTCTACATGCTATGGGTAAGGTTCAAACAATCGGAAAATGGGTACCGCATGAATTGAACTATCGGCAGGTGGAGCGACGCCAAAACACATGCGAAATCTTACTTGCCAGACATGAAAGAAAGATGTTTTTGCATCGGATTGTGACTGGCGATGAAAAGTGGATATATTTTGAGAATCCTAAACGAAGAAAATCGTGCGTTTGGTGGGTTCAGCGTTGTATCATCTACCGTGAACTGTTGAAACCTGGTGAAACTGTTGATGCCCACCGTTACCACCAACAACTGATCACATTGCACCGTGCTCTGCGTGAAAAAAGGCCCGCATATGAGCAAAGACATGAAAAGCTGATTTTCCTCCATGAGACTAGGCCCCTTCCGACTATCACTTGTTTGCCTCCATGGGCCACTCGCTCGCTGAGCAGCACTTCGATTCATATGACGACGTCCAAAAATGGCTTGATGAGTGGTTTGCCTCAAAGGAAGAAAAATTTTTTTTGGCGTGGAATCCACAAATTACCCGAAAGATGGAAGAAGTGCATCGAAAGCACTGAACAGTATTTTGAATAAATTTGACTTTACTTTTTATAAAAAAAAAAGTGTTTTTCTTAAAAAAAAAACAGCGGATTTAAGCTTGTATACCTGGTATATCAAAATGATTAGAGCATAAATCACTTCTACAACATACTAAATAATCAAAGTGATCGGAGTAATGCCTGTTAAACTAGACATTTACCTACCAACTGTTGCCCTTTCATATTGGGCATATTTCAAATTGCGCGTGCATTTTTTATAATGTTATTAATCACTTGCCCCATAACCTAAATAATATATAAAATAAATACAAACTTGAGCCAGCTACTTACAACCCTATTCTGGCTCAGATTTGTGTTCATTTTAATAAGCAGAAGAAATGGATGTATGCATAAATTATACCTACTTAATTTTTTACTATTTGATAGTCTTTTAATTTTGGATACTTTTTATGATTTTTGTGTTATAATAACTATTTTGCATCTAAAATATGTTGTTACGATGAAAGATCATCAAGTACAGAGATACGTATAAGACGTGTTTATCTTACCTTAAAGGTCAAACAAATAGAGCCATTTTTCAAATTTAAAGGTTTTCTAATATTGGATATCCTATCAAAAAATTGAGACCTGCTTTTTAAAATTAAGACACCGTGTGTGGCTTCATAAAAAACAGTTCAATTTTATATACTAGAAAAGAGGTTTTGAAGTTGTATATTTGCTTAGAATCATTATTTTGACTAAGAAATTAGGCAGTCTTTATCACAAATAAAGAATAGTCGTAGCAGTAATTTGGTATTGATTACAATATGGAACTAAAGGCGCAAGGAAAGTAGATGAATATATCTAAATATATATTAAAAAAAATCGGTTGTCTGTAAAGTCGGTTTACTGACGATAATTGAACGTGACAACGTCATAAGAAAATACTGATGGAATGGTTTCATTTTTCAAAAGAAAATTTTAATTTTATTTGTTTGATAGATATTTTGTATGGATATAGAGAAGGAGGTAAATGGAAATGTATTATTGTATAGCAGCTGTCCACGCGGACGCATCGCTCACTCAAGTAGGAGAGAGACAGATGTCGAACGCTGCCGAACGCGGAGGCCGATTGTGCCTCTTTGTCGCTCGTTCTGCGCTCTCCCTTGCACTTCAAGCCTTAAATGGAACGCCTCAGAGTGAGGTAACGCCGCATGAGTCATGTTTTTTCGTGCGTGCAGCCGGCTCCATCGAATTATAAGACGTTGTCACGTCAAAAAGTATTTTCAGGTTGCGATCTAGGAATGAATGCGCAGGGGGTGGAGGTGAAAATCGAATATTGCAGAAGATAAACCTAACTTAATCCAATCCTAATCTAATAGAGTAAAAAAATTTTTTGGAGAGATTTTTGGATGGAATCCCAGTTTTACTAAAATTTGAGTTTTCACAAAAAAGATAAAAATCTTTACTACAATTTGATCAGGCAAAGTCATTGAATCTCCATTTTTATATTCCATTTTTCACCCTTCTGCATCCTTAAAAGTATTTAACACGTATTGTATGAGGTCATTTTTGGCCCGCTTCACCTTATTCGTACCGTAAGTCCCATATTGTAAACAATAAAGCAATTACCAGTAATTTTTGTTTCAAATACTTAGACTTTCTATAGGTATTAACATTCGTGCCAAATTACCCATTCTATTTTGTAACTGTCCATGGATGAATAAGAAAAAACTATTAACGCAAATCATTACATATTACAGAGTTACTTAGTACTGAAAAATGAACTTCTCATTTTATGATTTAAATTACAAAACACTGTCAATGTGTTTTGATATGAAGCAGTATCCAAAATTAGACGACTTTCAGTTATTATTAAGAAAATATAATTACAATTGGACTCGCAAGCCAGTCATTGTCGCCATACATCAGATAAGTGGGCACTTCCACTTTAGATAGGTTGTATTTAAGTGGAGTTGGCTGTCCGTATATAATACTGTTTAATCTTGATCCATAATCGAATTCTTGAAAGTTGCCGCCAGAATTTATTTCTTGAGCGTAATGAGCAAGAGTTTTCGTAGATGTACTTGACGGCGTGTGTGATAAAATTAATGGCAAGTAATTCTAAGGAATAATGAAAAAGTATTACTAATTACAATAAAAAATCGTTCATTAAATTAAGACTGAATGAGATAAATCGAATCTTAGGCTAGTGAATAGAGATTTTAGTATGGAGCATTGGGTTAAATTGGTTTTAACATTGACAATGGTGGTTTGACCTCTTAAGATGATCAAACCATAAAGTTGTTTGGGGTGCGTTTTTTGAGTAATCTTAAAAAAGTCACTAGTTTCTGTTTCCTCTATATAACTCAAAAACGAAGGAATTTTTGAGATTTTACAAGAGTACTTTTCATTTAGAAAATTGGATTTATCATCGAAATACTTAATTAAATTCTCTTTATCATTTCTATTACCTATCAAACATAATTTATAAAACAAAGTAGAAAATTTCAAAAAAATTGCCCTTTTTTCCATTAAATCGTCTGTAACTCTTTTCCTGGGCAATTTAGATATATATAAGTGTCTAGAGAAAAGATAGCCATTGAAAAAATACACCTTTCCTTTTATTCTTTTTTGTACAACGGAAATTCATCGAGATATTGATGCTCAAAGTTGCCTAGTTTTTGTCATATTTTACCCTGCTTTATCGCAAACGTGTTTTTTGATCTCGAAAATTGCTTCACTTTTGAGTTATTTAGAGAAAACTGAAAGGGGTGCCTTTTTGAAGATTACTGAAAACGCACCCCTTGTGGTTTTATAGTATTTAGAGGCCAAAGTACCATATTCAATCTTAAAATCACTTTAACGGAATTGTTCCCTACTTCTTTTTCCTTTTGTCTCTATTCAATAGGGTATTCAAATTTTTATCAGAACGTAAAACGAAATGTCAAAGACTGCATGGAAAAATATTTGTAATACCCTTTTTAACTTAAAATGTACAAATTTCCTCAAAAAATAGATAATTAAACACATAATTTACTAGTTTTCCAAATACAGTTCCTAAAATTGCAAAAATAGGAATCAAAGTTAGTACGAAAAGAATTAATTATAACTTTGCAATTTAGGTATTTAATTTTTATAAAATCTGTTTATATCAAAATATATGTATATTATCATTAACTGTGTGCACCTTTGTAAAATTGATGTGCTTGAATCAATCATTTTACCAAAATACAAAAAGACCAACTAAAGCCGGGTTGGATGACTAGTATTTTTAAATTAGATTCAGTTAAAAAGAATCAAAGTGCATATAACACGTCAAAAATATAGTCGTGTTTTTTGTTAACCAAACTGAAAACATGACAGTATGCTTCCAAAATTCGTATATTTTGACGTTTATACACAAGCAGTCTTTAAAGACTCTTAATTTTTTGGTACGAATCGAAAATCTTTAGAAAATACATTTCGGAAACAAAAGTAACCGCTTAAGTCTCACAAATAATGGAAGATGGTACCCCTTCTAATCAAGTAGAAATGTCTCAAGTCACAGGGTACTACTTACGGAGCAAGCGAAGACGTTTAAATAACGATGGAGAAGAGATATCACCTTACTCGCAAAAAAGGAGGTATGTAAAGAGAAAGTCACCGATACTAACGATGCCAACCGAAATTTTACAGAAGATATTTAGAAAAATGACCTGCGAAGAATTATCAGTTTCTGTTCGCTTGGTCAACAGACGGTTTAAGATATTGGCCGAAGATTTATTAAATTCTGAATTCCTACTGCTTTACAATCGACTTCAAAGTTCAAAAGATTTGGTGGCATTTAGTCTTCAGTCTTCGTCTCACGATTCCGATATTAACTGTTACTCGAAATTTTTATCCGCAATCGACATATTAATTTTTCATTACACATTAGTAAGAGCTACCATTTGGCGATATATTTACTACGACATGAGGAAATCAATTTTGTGTATGTATGGGGGTAAAATCGTAGATGATATGCATAGTGTTTTAAACAAGCTATTGACCATAAAAGATACTTCTGGTACCTATCATGTCCTTCAAGTATTACCGGCAATGGTACAGCAACTGTGTGTCTTGTGTAAACAGTTTAACATTTCGTTTGAAAAAGGTTCAGAGATGCCCATAAACAAGTCTCCCTTAATTTCGGGTGCTAAAATATTAGACATATTGAATTGTGCCACCAACTGTGTAAAAACCGTTGGATATGAACGTTTACGAAAAAACATGTACGTGACTAGTGTCCAATATTACTTTACAAATTCATGGTTTGTTTCATTCAATATACCGTCGAAAAAATCGAGGAACATGGCCGAGAAAATGCGTTTAATGTTCATGCGGGTAAGGCGCATCGTTAATGCACACTCGGAAATGTCATTGGAAAATGATAGTTACGAACGAGAGCTATCACTGCAACCAGATTCTAGTCTAAGAGTAAAAAAGCCCCCGAATGCCATCTATACCGGTTACGGGGAAGTTGGTAGGTCGTTCTTTTTTTATGGTGTCATGAACGAAGGAGCGTACTTTCAAAAATTTGTAAGAGATTATCTAGAAGAAGACGAAGATGATGATGCAGATGCACAAGCTACATCCCCTAATTTAGGGATAAGATTTAAAATAGAACTAACGTGCTCTATTGAGCTTGCACCTTATGATTTTGTAAAAAAGATCAGTGAGGATATTACTATAATCAGAGAATTAAATAGGAATGCAGCCAAGGATGAAAAGAGGATATTTGAAATGAATATGCAAATCGACTGTCCTGGAGCTGCGAATGCAAGATTACCCTCTGTATACAACATGCGATTACATCATATGGCGGTCTCTTAAATAACTAACGAAAACAGTGATTCGAAAATAATTTATCGGTTCTTTCCGAACAATCAATCCGTAGGGCTCTTGTTATTATCTACTAATTTCTTGTTATTTTTTAACACTGTAACCTTTTCGTAGATTCGATATGTTTTTTATATTTTTTTATTTTACTATTACAAAGGTGCAACACCGAGTTAAAAAAGCAATAAAAACTGTTTTATTTAAACGTTTATACATTTGTATGTGTTGTACTTACCTCATCAAGTTGACTTTTATCGAATCCACATATGGAAAATATAACATTCTCACAAACCTCTCTTTCGAATTCCAGCGCATCGCATCCTAATGCTAACAATTTTAATATTTTTGAGTTAGGCTTAAATTCTTTGATACCCAAATGTTTCTCAATCCACTAGAAAAGATGAAAAAGTTTTTACACAAGATTTTCATATATATTTAGGGTGGTCCATTAAAAACGAAATCTCTGAGTTTTTGGAAGTTGTGCTCATTTTGATTTATAGATAATCATGAAGTATGTAATAATAGTTTGTGTGATAAGTCAGAATGTCTTGCAATTTTTTCAAAGTTTCTTCTGGCATCAATATTTAAATCAACCTAGGAAAAAAGCTTAGACCAATTTAAATATTGGTGCTTCAAGAGAATGGCGACGCCATTAAAAGTTTGCACTGTTCTATATTTCCAAAATATTGACCTGAAATGATCGGAGTATTTTAGTGGACATATCGATTTTTGATGATAATCGCTGAAAAATTTGGAATGATTGCATAAACTAAATTTTGGAGAAATTGCGTTGAGACAATATTTTTTTGATAACATTAACACAGACAATAATTTTTCATTCACTTACTTCAATATCATTAATCCATGGACTTAAATATCTAATGGGCGACCTCACATGGGTCATGTAGACAGCCGGTGCCAAAGCTATCATAGTTTTAACCGTTTTAGCTGCTTCCGGCAAAATAGAGGCGAACGCAAAGAACATTGTACAACCCATCGAATGTCCAATGTAAATTATTTCTCCATGTTTGTTTGTGACATTGCCTACATAATCTAGTGCCGCGGGCAAATCGTAAACACCCATGGTATCCCAACTATAATAAGTGTTAGAGCAGTAGGTACATATAAAAAATTATTAATAGTTAAAATAAGCAATTTATTTCATACCTAAAGTCCCAAAATGCATGATGATCTATGGGCAGTTTTAGATGGGCTGTGGAATAGGTATTTCCCCTGGCGTTTCCAAGCCAAACGTCATATCCAGAGTCCGCTAGTAAGAAGGCTACAAAGTTGTTAAAAATTATACTGGTTTAATGGATCGCTTTTAGAATATCCCTGATGAAAGCTTTGCAAACAGAACACAAGTCTTAAATCTTGCAAATTTGACATCACATTAGTAAGCAACATACCTAAAAGCCCCTAGTAGCTGATTTTCATGACTTTTTCCTTTATTAATCTTCGAGATATATCATTTAGCAACTAATATTGTAATTATTTGTTATTACTAAAGAAAAGGAGATCTAGTGTACAACACCAACCGGTAGACTTTCTACTTTAACCTATTTAAAACAAGCTTTTCTGAATTTTTATGCAATTACAAATAATTCCTAAAGAATGCCTCTTTTTTGACTACGTTTACTCCACTATAAAAATTTTTTTTTTAATAATGAAGTCCGCAAAGTTTTCTCTTAGAGAAAGGCTTTAATAGCACCTTCAACAATGATCTTGAACTGTATTCCATAGGCTCCCGACGCTACTATTTTATACATAACCAAATTTTTCGAAAATTATAATTCTAATCACCCCAAATAAGGTGTGTAAAGTAAATTTAGGTATTATTATACAGGATCGTTTCATCCAAATTCTAAATTCGCTCTGTTGTGCCCTGACAAACCTTTCTTTAACGTAATAGTTTTTCAATAGTTATCTTTGTTTTACCTAAAGAAATATTGGCAATTTCGACCCAGTCACTGCTGCTACTAAATAAACCATGTTGAAGGAATGCCACTTTGGTTCCTTTTTGGCCATTTTTGTCGCTTGGTATTCTGTGTAATGCCAAAATGTATCCATCTTCAGTTACCACATAATGAGTTTCTGCAGCGTAACCATGCCTTCTTATTATTTGAGGCTAAAAAGAATATTTTTATTCGATTATAAAATACTTTATCCACGCATCAGGATGTAGTATTCTATAGCTAAAAAGTAGAAAAGAATAGCTTGTTTGTTATTCATATTTTGGTTTTAATCGAGTCCAAAATGAGGAAGGGCGAAATTTAAAATTGAAGGAACACGATAGGCGGTCTGTGAAATGAATGAATGCTTTAAGTGCACATTTTAAAATAATTTTTTGTAGGTTTTAACCACATGCTTTTTGAGTTAAACCTAAGACTATGAGTGCAATAAAATGTGAAAACATTCTTTTGACATTCATTTTCTTTTAGATTTACCGCTATAGGAATTACAAAGGATGTCTTCTTTCAGACATTAGCTATAATTTTCGACATCAGTAAATTTATACCTTCAAAATTATTATTTATGGATGGGTAGAAATGTTTAAAGCTCTAATGGCACTTAATGATAAATAAGTTTCATGATAAGTTTGACCAATTATTTATTAGAGTTAACAATGAGTTAATAAAATCGTTCGTTAGCGAAAGAATCACATGACGATAAGACCGCAAAACATTTATTTTAGTGCAAATAGTGTTTTAGTGTTTCTATTCCTTAATTAGATAAAACGTAACTGATCACGAATAAAAGTTTCCTTAATAAAATATAAACAAAACAGGTATTGTTAAAAAGAATGATGAGTATATCGTGGATAGAGACGGTTAGAAATGATAAGGTATTAGAAAGAATAGGAAAACAGAGGACTATATGGAAATCAATAGAAAATAGGCGAGATAGGTTGACAGAACACCTTCTCACGCATAAAAGTATAGTTAGACACATATTAGAGGCAGAAACGGGAGTTAAGAGGAGTAGAGGTAGACCTAGATTAGATTACTGTTCGCAAATAGTTAAGGATGTGGGTTGTTCTAGTTTTAGGGAAACGAGAAGATTAGCTCAGTATAGGTAAGAGTAGAGGTGCGTGTCCCTGCCAGTCTTAGGACTGACGACCTTATGATGATGATGATTGTTAAAAATCAAAACATTGGCTACCATAAATATTAGTTTGCTCGGAATGCTTACCTATTGCTATTATTGTTGGGTGATTTTTAAATTTAACAATCGATTATTAGTCGATGAATCGGACAATTTTGCCCAGCCCTATTTATTGCTTTCGTGCCACCTTAAAGCGCGAGAACAATACGTTTTATGTAGTTGACGTACAATGAAATCTAAAACTACTAGATTTTGTTTCTTCGTTAGTACCACATGTAGACTCTACTGACACCTATTGGTTATATATGTTTGTAGTGTTATTTAAAGAAAAGTTAATAAAACTGCACGATATATATAAAAGATATCTCATTGTCAGTGTGAACAATTTCTTGCATGATCTACTAATATATAGGTTATTAACTAATGAAATATTGGTACATGCTTTAAAATACAAGAAGAGATGGACGAAAATAACCTTTAAATTGCAAAGGATTTTACTTACAGTGGTTAAATCTTCATCAGGATTATGATCAAATTTAACAGTTTCTTCTTCTTCTTCTTCTTCGTGATGTTCAATTTGTTCTGGCGTTGCAAAGTTCACTAAATTGTAAGAAAGCAGGATAACAAGGAGCAGAGTTTTCATTTTTACTTGTTCTCTGTATTACTGCCGGTTGATTGTTACTCAATTAAGTCTGCAGTCGTAAATGGTAAACTTTTCTAAAACGAGCAATTTTTATTGTCAGATAATTCGTGTTTTCCCCGTAATGATTGCTTTTATTAAAAAACATGCATTTTACGATTACAGGTACTAAACAAACAACTGTTTGGGTGATTAAATTGCGCACTGATGGTCAAGGAAATGTATGCTTACAAGTTATTATTAGTATTGTCGACGAACTCGTTTGTTCATTTATAACTCTGCTCAATTTTATATTACATTCAATAGGTTTCAAGGTAAACCATCTGAAATTATTTTTTATGTACACATCATAATTGGACAATTGAATAAGGAAAAATTGTTATGAAACCTTTATACTAACTAAATAAATTGAAAACCCGCATACGGCTCTGATACTGTGTACATTACTTTTTATTTTAAATCATCCCTCTGCACGTTGGAAAAACAGACATATAATCTTCTTTATTACATATTATGCAGTACGATGAATATATAATTGAAGATAATGTAAACGAGATTATAAATCATCCTTACATTGTAATCCTGTATTTATGGACAAGTGTTGATGTAGGTAATAAAATTTGAAATTATGTTCGAGGACGTGTCTTTTATTGCAGTAGATGCATAATTAAGGAATCAGACACAGTATTAATCTTAAGCAAAAAGTGAAAATGTCTAGGATTATTTATTTCTAAACATTTCATAACGAAAGACCTGCCAATAATTTACAAACATAATTACCGGTAATATGTTGATAATGTTTTATTGCTTGGAAAAATGGAAATATTTTTTGTAATACAAACCTTTTTACGATAAAATAACATTGTGTTTTTAATGTCTGCAATTATCTATCAGTGTAATTAATACAGAGTCGGCTTCAAAACAATACTTAATCGGTAGGTAGCATTTAGTAAATTGGTTTTTTTTTTTGAAATGTTTATATTAGACTTTAAGTAAAAAATGCCAAAAAAATATTGTATTACAATGGTTAATACGCTTCGCACTTATTTATTATTAAATACTGGTAGGACCATGTGAATAAATTACATTGTGGTATTTTTGTTTAAATGCTTCAACCGATGAACAGCTTATTTAATTAGTTTTTTATCACTATTTTGATGTCTTCTTGTTATTTAGTACACAACACACCCACACTATCAAAAACTTTGTCAACTATTTCAAATCAAAGTATTTCTAAATCGATAAAAGAAAAGGTTAGAAGCGTTCGAAATGTGGTGTTACATGCGAATGATGAGGATACCATGGATACAGAAAATTAGAAATGAAGAGGTATCAGAAAGAGTAAGAGAACAGAGGACTCTTTGGAAGTCAATAAGAAATAGGCGAGATAGGTTTGTAGGACACCTTCTCAGGCATGAAGGTCTAGTCAGAGACATATTAGAGCCAGAAACGGAAGTTAGGAGGGGTAGATGTAGTCCTAGATTAGATTACTGCTTGCAAATAGTTAAGGATATGGGTTGCTCTAGCTTTAGGGAAATGCGAAGTTTAGCGCAGGATAGGAAAAAGTGGAGGTGCGTGTCCCAATCAGTCTTGGGACTGACGACCTTATGATGATGATGAAAAAATTACCTACATGAGGACACTAAATTTATGCGGATTAACTGCATGTTTTTTGTGGAAAATGGGTACATAATTATGAATTTAAGTTCTTATTATAATAATATNATATACTTACACTAAGTTTTAAAATGCAAAATACTGTTAGGATTTAACAATCAAAATGTTTAACTTTTTATTGTTATCTTTTATTTCACTCAATCTACAGCAAAATTTTTAAGTTTTAACAGCAACATTACATATGTGAAACTTGTTTCGAAAAATCTATAATAGCATCTTTGGCATTTGTAATTAATACAGTGCGTGCCCATTAAAACTTTATAAGTATTTTTTTATGATGGTAGTTTAAATAAATGTATGTGTAATTATTTTTGTTCATATAAATAAGTAATGTCTAGAATAAACAAATATTGTTGTCATACAAACCTATCATTTTATAATCATTCGTTTACATTGACTTATTTGGCAACGGGGTAATGTAAATCACTGCCCTTTGACCGAATCGTACACTTATTTGCTTGTTTTAATTTTCTGATATTAAATAAATAAATGAGAGTAGTTTATTAAAAATAAGCAAAAAAATTAAACAGAAATCGAGTTTATAATAATTCAGTAACTGTAAAATAAGGATTTTGCCACAAATAAAACTAACAAAACATAGAAACATTTTTTATTTTTTCTAATATGTAGATGAATAATAAAATAATAAAACTGCTTACCTTTTACAACGCTATGTAGGTCGTGTGTTCCTTGTAAATCAACTATAAAGAACCAATTTAACATTTCCTTACGTAAACTAGCACGATCTGTTAATATTCGCAAATCGTTTTTAATTTTTTCTTTGAATAATTTCAACACGTTCAGTGATAACAGTATTCTAACAAAGTTAGTGACTCAGCTACTTGCTACGCAATATGTTGTTTTGTTTGCCATGAACCGTATCAAAAATAAATCGTTCGATTTTTGTGAACAAAACATGCAGAAATGAATCATGCCATATTCGAACCCAGCAATTATGGAATTCGCTTGGTGTTAATTATTATTATGAAGCTTAATGCATGTTTTTTTGATAACATAAAAATAAAAAACTAATTGTACGAGACACGTCTGTAAAATTTGTAACTGCTGTAAAACATGGGCAATAAAACAAAATATAAGCTAAATATTAAAAATTGAATGAAAAATAAAAAAGTTTTACCATTTTAAGAGTGCGTATTTTTTTTATTATTCTATCTATCATAATTTTAATATTTAGGATCTGTTTTGTTTTATTTCTGTTTAATAGCTTCATAAAATCGGATTTTACAAATGTGTCATCTGCAATTGATTGTTTACTATTTTTTAACTTCTTTAACGGTGCACCCTCCTGCGCGAACAAACATTATTAAAAGTATATTTTATACATGTTTATTAGTTATACTGAAATTCCGCTTATAATATTTTTTTATAACAAACAACTGGTTTCATTTTAATGTATGTTAAAATTTAAAATTAATTTTCAACGTAAGATACCAAAAAAGAAGTCAGTTTGGATTATCTCAATAATCAAAAGGAAGACTAATTTTATTTATATTAACGCTAAGAATTTTAAATTTGTAATAGGGTTAATATTTTAATATTGCATTATTAAGCATTACTGCGAAATTCATTTCTTCCACTACAGTTTATCACAAGATAATGAGAAAAAAATTGTTGCTACTGTCATACACTCGCCGGGAATCGATCCCGGACCCCTAGTTTTATACACCAATACTCCTTATTAACATGAGGTAAACTCTAGTGTTTAATAATTATTTTTATTTGCTAGACTCTTACAATTTCATTAGTTCTCACCAGATGTGGTGTAATTTCGATCTAGTATGTATGTAATGTACGTTTTAATTACTTCAAAGTAAATTATTGACAAAATCATTGATACTTATATACATTTACAATTTACAATCAGTTATTTTTCTAGTCGATGCCAGCCAAAGCAAAAATAACCTTAATAGATACCTAGTTCATTAATGAATTAATATATGAATGCGACAGTAGAGATTAGATAAAAGAAATTGGACGAAAAGTTTGTTGCAAATGCAGGATTAAACTGACCCTCTTGACTGACACCGACTCCAAAAATAACTGATTATAAATCGTAAATTGTTCTGGAATACACTTTGCCTTGAAGTAATTAAAATAATATTTTCTGCTTATTAGTTTAAGTCTGTAAATTTAGGTATAGTCTTAAAGTCGGTTTTTGTTTTTTTACAATTTTTAGTGTGTATATATTTTTTGTTTATGGAGTACCAGACGCAATTTTAGAAAATAGAAAAATAATAAAGCACATTATGCGTCTCTATAAAATTTTAGGGTTGCCCTCGATTTTTCTGGGATCCCATCATCAGATTCTCACTTTTCAATAAAAAAAGAATTTCTCGAATTATCCTGGCGTTTTCAAGTAATCGGGAACATACATAAAAAAATCCGACGATTTGAGATCTTTTTTTTTTTGATGTCGGTTAAAAAGTAAAACACGATGACAGTAGGTAATTTCTCTTTATTTAGGCATTCGAGTAACAAAAAAATTGCAAGCTATTCTGTGTGATTATCATATAAATCCTTACAGTTTTCATCGAATATTAATTTCCTTAACAGAATAAGTCAAGTCGGAATGAAGGTATAAATCTGCAACGTATATTAGAAATAAGCGGCAGCTTGCACATTACATCCATAATAATTGAAGTTAGGTATTTGCCCGATCTATGACTACGTTCCTTATAAAAATACTATCTTACTTAAAGAGACTCGAACGAAACGACAATTAGTACAGAGCACACTAGGAAAACAATCCATAATTTATCATTTATTGATCGGATAATGCGTAGGTAGCTCAAATCCAATAGTAACATACATGATTAACAAGTCGAAAACTTACAATGTACAAGAAAGGCATATTTACATGGTCTTGAGAGCAAAAGGTTCGTAGCATACTTTCAGATTACTTTATTTATCCTCATTAGTTAACATAATATTTATTCGGTTATTTTTATTTTAAAATTTAAGAACTTGTTGGTAACTCATGCTGCGGATCTTAAAATAATACAATTTCATGAAAATTACCTACATAACCCAAATTTGATTCAGTTTACATCTTTATTTTCTATTTCAAACATAATAAAAAAATAATGTTTCAAAACAGGTTTCATTTCTTGTATAAACTCTGCAGTTGTTTTTACTGATTAAGTCGTTATCAAAATAGAAATAATATTATAATTTTCCGCAATAAAAGTACAATAGACTGAATACCGGAATTATTTCTACTTCTGTTCACTTACTCTTGACAAAGTCCTAATCACTCGACAGTCGAAACGACTGTAAAGTTTATAATTAAAATTTTTCTGAAACATTATAAACCATTTTTCCTTTATTTATGCTTATTATTTATAAAACTTAAGTCACGTCTCGTAATTAACAAATAGTAGAACCAGGAACTGTTTATGTTGTTTAATGGGGTTTAAAAACGAAAACAGTCACGTTCATTTAATTAAAAACTCTGTACTGACCTGGATGATAAGCATTGCATTAACACTGTTTAAAATAATCACTAATGATAATAATCGAAATTGCAAACCGGCTCTCAAAAATATATTATAGCATTCACGCAAGTAATGTCATACACATTACGTGTAAATTACATTTACTATCTTATCTATTACCATTTTAATGATTCCTCAATTGAACTAGCAATACCCTGTCTAAATCCCATTTTTTAAATGACTTTCATTTCGATTTATTCTCAATCTCTACGTGTGAAAACTTAAAAATTAAGTAGTATGTACTAGAACCTTTGTGCGCACAGAAGAATATCTACAACGCTTCCTAACAATTGTTTTCCAATTCACATGTACAAAGCGAATGGTTTAATTTCAAAAAGAGGCGTCAACATTACGTTTTATTATTTTCTTATTTTTTTTTTCTTTTTGAACATCTGCGCGTATGACTAGAAGTCGTGACCGCTTTAAGCACACGACACCGTAAGTAGCGGAACTTATTTATATGTATAATATACTTCTTTTTATTTAGTCCAGGCAAAATGGGCACGTGAGTGGGAAAAATTATTTGGATTAATTTTTTTTACGCAATTTGGATTAGAAGATTCTCATGAATACAACGATATAGGTTTCCAGTCGGTAACCCAATTAAAAATAAATTTTTTGGTCGAAACATTTTTTTTAATTCTTTGGTTTAAACTCGATAAAAAAGGTCTGAAGTTATCTTTTTTGTAAAGTTAATACTTTTCGAGTTACGAATTTTTAAATGTCTGAATATACACGAAAATATGCCCCCCATTTAGCTGCAAGCAATTGTTTACCGGTAACTAACGTGTAACACCTCGAACCATTAAACTCATACATTTAATTATTATCAGTTGGTATCGTTAATTATTTATTTTATTTATTGTTTGTGGAGATTGTAAGATTAATAGAAGAGAGGAGGAAATACAAAAAAGGACAGACGAAGAAGGGCAAAAATGATATTAGGCTATAAAGTGGGAAATTAGGAAGTGTAGGGAAGTTAAGGAACATAATATGAAGTGTAAAGAAGTAGAAGAAAAGATGAAGAAAGAAGTAGGTAAAACGATGAGGCTTATAATATAATTAAATTGGAATTTTAGAGATAAGGGTCATTTTGATAGAAAATGAGGAAAAGACAGGCGTTTGTTACAATTCACATGGCTTTTGTTGCTAAATTAGTGATTTGTCACCTTACTTCCGGCTAATAAACGCTGTTGATATTTTTAGTATTTATAAACATTCAACCGTCTCTCTGAAAATCCGTTAGCAAAGAATTACAATTTGATTGATTCATTGTTTAAACGATTTTTTTGAACGGGGCTTTAATGATTGCTGATTGGTTTAGGACATTACGTTGATGTGGGTGGTATTTAATATTTAATCAAAAGCGAGCTAGAACGAAGACATTTCATTATAGCCGGCAAGTGTCTAGATGGGTGGGTTTGGGTGACCTGACACTGGGGCCGGGGATTAGCCGCGAACTTAACTGCAGCCTCAGAGGGTGAAGGTAGACCAGTTTCTTTCAGAATTTGGATGTTTCTTATGAACCAGGAATAGTTGAATGCGATACGAAGAATCCGCATTTAAGTGCCTTGAGGAATTTGTAGGCGGCGGGAATCGGCACTGCCCCAAATGGGGATGGCGTAGGAGCAAATGCTTCTGATAATTGCGTTGAACGCACGAATTTTAATTTGGCGGGAGATGGAGTTGTTTCGGAAGAAGGGCTTGAGGGAGATAAAGACGGCTAGGGCCTTGGCACCGGTGCTAAGGATGTGCCTCCGCCATGCCAGTGTTCTGTCGAAGACGACGCCGAGATAAGTAACAGAGTTGCTCCATTTGATACGGTGGTTCTTAGCGGTGATGGCGGGAGGTTTTCGGGTCTTACGGGAGAAGAAAATTGCTTCCGACTTGGCCTCGTTAATGGACAGTTTCCATCATTCGGTACCAATTTAGTAGCAGGTATATAAACTTTTGGGCTGAGTTTATGAGGGCTATGTCATCGGCGTAGAGAGCTGTGACGATCGAGAGGTGGGACGGCATGTCTGTCCAGAAAAGTTTGAACAGAAGAGGTGACAGCTTTGAACCTTGTGGGACCCCAGCCGNTCAGAGAAGAGAGACTAGTATAGAAGTCCAATTCAAATGGAGGACTAAAACGTGAGTAAGAAATTCTAAATAGAACCAGGAGATGGCGTTGCTATGAAAATGAGCGCCTCAACGCTGTATTGAGTCGGAGCAAAGAGTGAACGCAGTAATGGCAGGGGTAAATAGTAGAAGTGGTGGGATCATAGAACGCATAAGTCTTTTTACTTTGCTGTTGTAAGCCAAGTTTGTAAAGAAAAAAAAAAAGGTTGATTTTCCGAAGCGACAACTACCGGTCGGATGACAGAAGCTTCGAGATTTACCGACATGTTATCCGAAACGAAGTCCGGATTATTAACCCAGTATTGGACTTCTATACTAGTCTCTCTTCTCTGGTTGGGTCAGTGGTGGGCCACACTCTTGTAGCTTTCATGTTGCATATAATCTAGGACGCATTAGTTCCTTGATTATAGAAGTATACGTATATGTTCTCCCCCTACGCAGGAGAGTAAGGAAAGCAAGAAATATCTTAGACCGCATGTTTAATTCGTTCTCTGCAAATGCTATTTTTCACTACAACTCGTCCATAGGGTGAAATTTTCTTGGGTTTGAAAGTTGAATACGTGCACGGACCTCGGCCCACACGGGTTTTCCTTAATACTGCTTTTAATTGCCCATTGTGTACTTCTAATTTGAATAAAGAAAGAATATCTACAAATAGCGTGCCAAATGTTTGTTTCAAAAGGCGAGACTCTTTAGGTGGCAATACTACCCATTCAGAAACAACACAACGTAACCCTTTACATCTAGTAGTTATATCTATATCCACATATGTACAGATATGTAGATATATACGGAAAATGACAACGTGACAATACTATTTTTATTTGACCATCTACTCCAATTTTTTGGATTTCGTAGAAGCAATAAAGCAAAAAAATAGACACACATTCGATTCACCTTTCCGTGCACTTCCGACAGTTTTATTGTAAGTTAGTTTTGGAGATCTAAATGTCACTGTTTCAGTATCACTGTCACAACAAGTGGTCGACTAGTGTAAATTTTTTTATCCTGATGTTTAACTGCCAGAATCCCATCGGGCAAGATAAAGTCTTCTTGCGTCGAGTGACGGTGATAACAGAGATCGCACTTGCGCCGACGGCATGCTGAAATGTCTTAGAGTTATTGGCGATTGCAAGTGTCTATGTTTGATGATTTCCCGCTCTGCAGGCAACAGCCAGAGATCCTGAAATAAACTACGCTAAAGGATCTGAAGAAGAAAACTGTGAAGGTAGTTGCAGATCGTCCACTGCACTCTGGCGAATCCAGAACTGAAGTGAAAATTATGGAGTATTGCTTATTGATTTCAATCAAATTTTGTAAATACTATGTATTTATAATTGAAATAGTTTATCTTGAACGAGTCTCGGTAAGAGATGAAAAAGGGGTGAATCGTAGATACATGATATACCATTATGAAAATGTGCATATAAAGTGGAACTTGTTGGGACGAAGCAGCTTACCTGCAGAGACTGGACCTCGTCTCAGGATTCTGCACTTTTGCTTTTCCTTCCAGTTAGAGAACCAACTATAGACTTAAGGGCAGCTCCAAAACTTCTGCTGGGTGTTTGAATACACTGCTGTGTTCTCCCAAATCCTTGAGGATGTGCATCCAAACATTTTTGATAACGTAACTGAAAGTTTAGAAAAAATCTATTTACAACCTAATAACAGTACCGAATTGTTCTAATCAGCCGTTTGGAAAGCACAATTTCAAAATTAGTAGGTACTCTTTATTTTTTAATCGTAATTGACACATTATTATGATTTTTTACTGCCGATATTTCATCATGAATTCCAATCGAGAAAACGTACATTAAAACAGCGATGAACACAATTTGTTATTATGCCATTGCAGCCCATAAGCAAACTAAAATATCTGCTCAGTCCTTAGGTATTATGGGGTATTGAAGACACATGTAATATAGTTTTCCCACCTCCTATACAGGGTGTCCCAGTTATAATAATAAAAAAAAAACCATGGGTTCCTGACACAAAATACAACAAAAAAGTGTTATACAATTTTTCAATCCAGTGACAATTGAGCTTGCAAATCGTCTTTGTAAATTTGAACGTACAATTTGTTTCATTACGGACCTGGATCTAGGCGACCAATGTCGCTCAGCTGATCTAGTGTGGATGTAACAAGTACCTACCGGGAAGAAGCCGAATGCACTTCCACCTTGTAAAAAAAAGGTAAAAGTGAAAAAGAAAAGCGTACCTTTTATAAAAAATGTTGAAATTGTCCGCCATTCGCTTCAATGCAACACTGACAGCGGCGTACCCAGTTGCTGCGAATTTTGGCCAAGATACCGGGAATATTTCGAATTATACGATAGGCATTGGTAATGTAACTCACCACCAACTGACGGTTGAATAAGAACCCTACTAGAATGCACTATCACACTACTAATTGTCCTTATTGTAATAGTCTTTTATGAAATGACCACTAAATAAATAAACTAACACTAACAAACAAGTAAATTCCACAACAATCCAAAGCAAACTGAACAACCTGTTAGAAACTACGACATTATGTGTATTTATTCCAGTCACTTCCAGCAGTGTAATTATACGAGGTTATATCAATATTTAGCTTTTTACATTTAATGAAAACAAAATAACCAACTTGGTCCTTCTGGACACATCCTTGTATTACCCCACGTGGGGTTAATGAGCCCTGCCAGGCAAAAGTAACGTTTAACACATGTGAATGGTCAAAGTAGGTCTGCATCTTGTCTCAACTTTTACAACCATAACACATACATTTGTTTTCGTACACTAGTACGTTATGTTACAAACCTTTACCAAACGCTGGGTGGTGAGGGTTGTTTGTGCACCGCTTCTAACTATTCCGTAGTTGTTAAAATTTCTTTTCTATTTAAAATAACATAATACTCGACGTCATGGGCTACATTAGGTCCACTTCAGTTTACGATCATGGGATTTTCGATTGTGATAGGTACATAGTTTTTCTAACGTGTTTCAGTCATCTAATGGACCTTAACGCGAGTGCATTTTCTTCGGCTGATCCGTAACTTAATACCAAACATAAACAATAACATCACCCCAAAAAGCAGCTGATTCCGACCTACTGAAGGTGAATTTTTCTACGATCAGCTGGCAATCGTAATTAATTTGCGATTGTGCAGGGCCGGCATCAAAACTGTTATAATTTTATAATTTTTTATTTTGTTTCAAAAGTCAAAAGTGTTATAACATTTTATGTTCCAAATGTCCGTAGGAATCTGTGGTATAAATATTAATTATTATAACTGGGACACCCTATATAATGTTAGCGACTAAAAGGATCAATGATATGTATTTGCTCATTCGAGATGCGTTGGTCGACGAATAGACATTGGTCTACCGAACGGTTCGCAAACCTTTGATATCTAATGTTATTTTTAATGATCGCTTTGTTTGCTTTGTTTGAAAATTTGTGGGGGTGCAATTGTTATAATTATTACACTATCAATTTGTTTTCTAACCCATTATAATTAATACCATATTTATTCAGAAACAGACAGGATAGTTTATGATAAACAGAACAAATTAATATCAAGTACTTACCTTACAAGCAGCTTCTATTGTTTTACATAAAGCTCCTGAAGACGGTTCACAATGAAACACGTGCGCCATAAATATATCTTGGGCCGTATGCATAATGAATGCACACTGTTTAACATTTTTCCCTATGCCCAAAAATGACAAATACCTAACCCTGCATTCCACTAATAATTTATCGTCCTACAACAAAAAAACCAGTATGTACAGTATTCGAAATTGGTCTCAAAATGGTTCGACTTACATTTGGTTGTTGGATCGAAATCATTGATGGAGCAATAGCTACATTTACTACTAGCCATTGTGGCTGGGGAACTGTTGTAACTAACTGGCTGATAGCGTCATTTAGAATATCCATTCCGGTGGCTTGAGTAACTTGAATACTGCCAAGGTATTGCGCTCGTAAAACCTTTTTCGGTTCTTCCATCGGTGTTGGAAATGACTGAGCTAAGTCGGAAAGTATTTCGATTTAACATTTAACAATGTATTTATTCACCGGTACCGTACCGGTTGAAAATGATTGAGCTAAGTCGAAAAGTATTTCATATTTAAGATTAATTTAACAATGTGTTTATTCACCGGTACCGTACCGGTTGGAAATGATTGAGCTAAACCGGAAAGTATTTCGTATTTAAGATTAATTTAACAATGTGGTTTATTCACCGGTACCGTTTTGGTTAGAAATGATTGAGCTAAGCCGGAAAGTATTTCGTATTTAAGATTAATTTAACAATGTATTTACTCACCGGTACCGTACCGGTTGGAAATGATTGAGCTAGCCGGAAAGTATTTCGTATTTAAGATTAATTTAACAATGTATTTATTCACCGGTAGCGTACCGGTTGGAAATGATTGAGCTAAGCCGGAAAGTATTTCGTATTTAAGATTAATTTAACAATGTGGTTTATTCACCGGTACCGTTTTGGTTAGAAATGATTGAGCTAAGCCGGAAAGTATTTCGTATTTAAGATTAATTTAACAATGTATTTACTCACCGGTACCGTACCGGTTGGAAATGATTGAGCTAGCCGGAAAGTATTTCGTATTTAAGATTAATTTAACAATGTATTTATTCACCGGTAGCGTACCGGTTGGAAATGATTGAGCTAAGCCGGAAAGTATTTCGGATTTAAGATTAATTTAACAATGTGTTTATTCACCGGTACCGTACCGGTTGGAAATGATTGAGCTAAGTCGAAAAGTATTTCGATTTAACATTTAACAATGTATTTATTCACCGATACCGTACCGGTTGGAAATGATTGAGCTAAGTCGGAAAGTATTTCGTATTTAAGATTAATTTAACAATGTGTTTATTCACCGGTACCGAACCGGCCACTAAGAAGCTATTCATCGGTACTGTACCGGTGACGAAAAGCTCTACCTTGCTAAAAAGAATTCTTTATTGGTTCCATTGACTTTGAATTAAAACCTTGAATTCATGCTTCATTAATTTTACATAATTTAATTTAATAATAATAATCAAATTAAATTTTTAATTTAGTTTACATAAATAGATTTAATTAGCGTATCTATGGTTTGTACCAGTAAATACCTTCTTAGCCACCGATACACTACCGATGAATAACTTTGTAGTCACCGGTACGGTGAATACCCTCATCCTTAATTTAAAACAACCTTATATATGAAGTAAAAAAGGAAGTGCACATTCCAGAGGATTCCCTACTGCTACAAATGCAAGCGTGGATGTTTATTGTTTGAATTATCGGATATTTTTTTATTTTTGTCTGTTTTTTGTAAAAACTTCTTCGTGAAACATCATTGTCGAATGAATTAAGCTGTAAAGGAAATCGATGTTGTAGGCATCCATGTTGTAAATACTTACTAATGAGTGCTTGACTGTTTCTGTTTGATCTTCTGTGCTCAGTAGGAAGGTTCGTTGGTCTGTTTGCAAGTCCTCTACCATTTATGTCGAGTGGCTTCGCCAAGTTTTGCTGTAGACTACGTTCGATCATTATTTTCTTACAAATATCCCGTAAAGTGTTTGCGATTGTTCTGGCTGGCATGTCGCACCGAAAAACGTGACACATGTGTTTCCGCGTACTCCTATCTCTTGCAACGTAAGCAAAGTCTCTGCAGGTAACAAAGAAAACTATTTCAGAACATACTTTTCTTTTTTGAAAGGCAATTTTCCGAGTATTACAGGCATTATTTTTCTTAAAAAAAGAAAGCAATTTTTATTAACAATAGGTGTTTTATAACGTTTAATTCAAAAGGAATTGTATATCCATTCTAACAGTCAAAGAAATGTAGCTAAATTTGGCGTTTTTATTGATTTTCCTTGTATACTGTTGAGGGTGGTTCACGCTACACCGTTTCAGGTCCGTGCCGTGTGCGTGTCAGTCCGTACCATCGAGTCTAGAGTCTAGACCGATTTTTAACACCGAGATAAAACAGCAAAAATCAGTATTTGATGTGTCAAATTTCGACTGGCTAGCTAGGGCCGTGAAAATACGCATATTTACGTTACTCGGCTAAGGCTTGACTCGAACCTAAAACGATGTGGTGTGAATCAATTTTCAAGTTTCGACAACTGTTACGATTATCTTCATCGTTCTGGTTTCACCATTATAACCAAACAAGAAATGTTCGGCTACTTCAACAAATTAATAACAATATTTAAAAATTTTCGAACATATTCGCGAAAGTCTACTTATAATTAGACTGTAAATTTAGCGACTTCTGAAAGCTCGTTAATTTCTTTTCAGTGCATGTACAAACAACGGATATTCGATATAATACGTAAAGGATTTATTTTTCGAATAATTAATGGGGAATGTGTACTTTTTTAAAAAAATAAAAATCAAAAAGCAGTACAGAATAACTAGATACAAAAATATATTTACCTTTCTCTGTGATGGACAATGCAGAGCATAAAAGAAAGACGAATTTAAATACAAGTTTTATACAATGCAATTACGTGAAACTAATTTTTTAAGTGAAAAGATTAAATTTACAATTTTCTAGCAAGTAACAAGTACTTCTACTAATACGTCAATACACAAATATGAATTAAAGAAAGATTACCTTCCATTATCTCGTCCTACTCCCCAGACTCTGATTGTATGTATAGGTTGAGTGTTAAGTACGTTAAGATTTTCTGGGTCAATTAGTTTAAGTGCCCCTTCATCTAAATCCATGAACAAGTCCTTCCCCTAAATCAATAATTTAATGCTATAAACGTGAATGCGAGAGAAAATAACAAGCACTTACGTCTCCCCATCTCCCAACAACATCCAAAAGATCATTTCTGCCTAAAGATAAGTCGACTATACATTTATTTACTGCTTTACTGCTTCTTTCTGGTGTAAGATCTTCTTCTGCTATTTCAACCCACCCAAGAGATCTTACTGCAAATCTAATGGGTTTTTCTTTTGTTTCAGGTTCCGGCCTAGCCGGATAACTACGTCTCCTACAAGAAGGATAAAGATTTACACACTTTCCTCCAATGCATTTAGTGATCAGCGTAAAGGTAAGTGCATTTATTATGTTTAATGTTTGGTTTGAACATAAAAAGCAATTATTTATTGAAAAATAGAGTTAGGTATATCTTTACAAAGCTGAGATAGTTCGTTGCAAAAAAGAATATTATTAGTAGAGAAAAACGGACAATTTAAATCATCAGTTTGCATATTTTGTGTATTCCTACTTGGGTTATTCGCTATGTGCAGGTTGACGCCAGCGCCTGAAGTGTCGGTTTTAGAAACTTTACAGTGAATAAATCTAACTACTTAAGAAATTGTACACACTCAAAGAAATAATTATTTAATACAATTTATTAAGTTTAATCCTGCAAACTATGCCATCACGTCAGAAAGCACTTTATTCGTNTGTCGCTCGTTCCGCGCTCTCGCTTGCACTTCAAGCCTTAAATGGAACGCCTCAGAGCGAGGTAACGCCGCATGAGTCATGTTTTTTCGTGCGTGCAGCCGCTCCATCGAATTATATGACGTTGTCACGTCAAAAACAGAAAACTCCTATTAAGTTAAATAAGACTATGAATCTACTAATTGAAAACTTTTAGATAGAGAAATCCGGACACTTGGCATTTTAATCTTGAATAATTAGGTACAAATGTAAACTAAACAAATAATTAATAGTTGCCTTTCTTACAAGGGTAATAAGTAATTATTTGCCACTTCAAAATTTCATTTTAGTACATATCCTTATTTTTCATTATTATGCATTATGATTATGTTAAATAACAAAAGAAAACAATATGATTGAGTTTAAAAACATATTATTATTCTGCGAGTTTTCCACATTATTATTTCTCTATTTGATTTTAATATAACGTGTATTCAGTTTTTCGGAGGAATGAAAACGCGGAACAAACGGCGTCATGAGTACATATCACAAATTCCACCCTTGTCTGGGGGACTGTCAAGTGTACATATAAAGCGCGCTGATGGGGCAACGTGACCTTACCCTCGTGTCTTTCCCACCCCGGAGGCAATTGCGTCTCGTCAGTTTGTTCTTCATTGGGGGACGCAGATGCCTCCTGAGGCCTCTGCGAGCGCCTTTTCACGGGAACTGCGTATAGGTCATTGTTTAGTTGGCCGGCGATATGAGGGACGCCACTGCCTTCTTCCTCATCTTCTTCATCATCCTCGTCTTCTTCATCTTCTTCCTCGTCGTCGACCGCTTCTTCGCCTCTCTCCTCCCGTTTCCAGCTGGTTTTGTTGTGCCCTTTCGGAGCCTGGTTTTCCGTTAAACTGAAAACGAGAGAATTCCACTCGCACTCTTGGAATTGGTACAAAAAATATACGTCCGAACATTTTTTGTAATGGTATTACCAAAACGAGTGGGCAAATTGATATTTCGTACGAAAGGAAAAGAATTGTGAAACTAAAGGACTAATTTTACCCAATCAATCTTATAAATCGCACTAAACAATCTCAATCCATTCTATTCAAGTTAGTTACTAATACCTTTAAATAAAGAATTTCTATATTCGTACTAATAAAATAATTTGTCTCAAGTATGATGTTTGGATATAAATACAGTGAAATTTGGCTATAACAAGCATCGGTTATAACGACAACTAAAACTATTGGAACTAACAACTAAAAATGCCCGTAATAACGCCAAGAAAATTGGATGTAACGTCGTAGTTTGATCGGTGTTTTCACCCATTGAGAGGTGTCGACGGTAAAGTGAAAAAGGTTCCCAACCCCAATTGCCTTTATTGACATTAATTTCCATTACTAGTCAACACAGTTAGTGCAAATTGTGTTTCTACATCAAGCAAATAATATTTCCGTTAATAACGACACTTAGTTACTACGTCAAAATATCGCCGGTACCAAGTTCTACACGGAGAGAAAAATCATAGAAAAATTACCATACTCTTTCATAATATGGGTACCTCTGACTCACAATGGAAAAATGTTCATCCTAGCATAATGAAAATTCCTAATCTTTCTAGTAAAGTTTACTCATACAAAAATTATTGGTGTAATATTGAATTTTATCAATACTGATTTTTGCACTCACTTCATGGAGACGAGCACAGTAATTTTTTGAAATTTTTCTCTCCGTGTACTATACATATGTATTTTATCACTGCGAAGTTTGAAAATTGGCCACAGACAGCGCCACAGTCACTTTTGCACATAGCGAATTACTTCTATAAAGTTAATATCGGTATAAGCAGTTGATGTATACATCAATGTTGCATAAGTTGCAATTTAAGTCTAGTATTGAGTGTGTTTTGAATTGTTGCATTATCTTGTTTAAAAAAGCGATTGCAATGATGGTTTTGAATGTTTATGTAGTTTTTTTTAACTTACTTTAATGTTAATTCCTCTTTTCGTTTACGTTCATCACCTTCTAAATCTAGTGCTGAACTGGTACTACTTCTAGTGACGGACGATGATAGTATGCTATTTTCGAATTTTGATATAATACTTTCGGTTTCTTTACTAAAGCTGCTTTTCGTATTTAACTGATCAACCCTGTTACTATTTGGTATAGACGGCGGCTCACGTTGTATGGTCCCACTTTTTATATGCCAGTAATATGGTCCATCGTTATCTAAAAGTCACAAACACTGATTGTGTTAAATATTTTATTACACTGAATTAGGCTTGTACACTGGAATAAATTATAATTTCACACTAACGGATTCATAAATTAATAAATCGCGTCAAGCCGAGTATTCTAAATACAATATTATATGGAATGATAAATAATCGAAATTTTTGGATAACCTCAAAATCTAAAAACATAACAGTAACTTTAAATGTCTTAAAATAGAATACGCTTTAGATGTAGAATTAAACAAAAATCGGTTGTCTGTAAAGTCGGTTTACTGACGATAGTTGAACGTGACNTTAAAAAAGCTTACATACGTACATGTCTACATTAAGAAAACTAGAGTATTTATCATTTTCACTACATAGTTCAAAGATATTTTTCATTTCATTACTGTAAGGCTTGATTTTAATTAAATGATGCGTACTTTTGCATGCGTATACTTGAGTAAATATGGCGTACCTTTTTCTTGGAGAATATGCTTCTGTATCAGTAGTGTTATCTAAACGACACATTGCATTTCCGTTTCGTTCCCCATTCCTGAAATAAAAGGATAGCAAATTCAGGTGATTATAACAAAAACGCTGAACTTTTCAAACTCTAAAGAATTGCTTTATTTACGAAAAAAAGTCAAGACCAATGAGGATAGTAATGTCTTTTTTTGGTTACAGAACCAACATCAACGTTTCGCCTCTTATTGAGAGTCTTTATCAAGGCTAAAATGTACCTGTATAGTTGATAGTTATACAATTATTTGAATTTATTGAATAGATTGCTTTATTTAATTCGTTTACGTGTCTTGCGGTTTTACTCAATTTTAAATTAATTTCCAAGTAATTGTAGAAAGGTAAACGACAAAAAGTGTGGGGAATGTTTAAACGGTAATGCTATTTTATTGCTGTTACGTTAACTAATAATTGTAGTAGCAGTGGAATTTAATGTGTGAACATTTCTTTCTCCTTTTGTGAGCTACTAATAACCTGACGCAACCTGGTAGTATGACTTTCATTTTTTTTTTTTCGAATTAGGAGTCATTTGAGTGTGAACACTGACTGTAATTTGTATTCTGAGAAGTGCAGCCAGCATCTTGGGTAATTTTCGCGATGAGAATCACACTGCATACTTATAATTAATCAGTTAAGCTGTGCATGTGAAGATGGTTTCGAAAATAACAGTTTATTTCACCCACGTTCATGTGAATATACGTATGATTTAAAAATTACGTTGACGGCGAGATGTGAGAATGTTATAAAAGAGAAAATCAGTTCAGTATGGACTCTTTGTTACAAATACATATGTATGTACGTTGTGTAAATGATTAATGACAGTGAGCAACGTGATCAATAAAACGCCAATGTTTGTAAGCCTACGAAACGATTCATTTTAAAGATCATTAAGTTCTTGGTTAGCAATTCACTGAAATCACCAAATTCAGAGCGCGATTTTGAACTTATTACCAAGCTTGCTGGATAGCATTAATTGATTAATATCAGGCAATTGCTACTATACGCTACAATAGCGGTTCCCTAAAGGTGTTCCGTGGAACCCCGGGATTCCTTGAATGAGTCAGAGGGATTCCGCGACTTATGACGTTTTTGTCCAAATAAAAACATACATTTTTGTGCAAGAAATATATAACTAGATGAAATTGGCTTATTTGACCGATATATTCGGTAAACTTGACCTAATTAACAGGTCCTTACTGGGAAGAATCACAACCACGTTTGCACTGAGAGACAAAATATCTTCACTAACGATAAAAAACAAATGGATGTTGGATTGAAAGTATTTAATGAAAAAGATACAAAGTTAAATAGAAAATGAGTTCTAAGTCACCATAAATGCGGGTAAAACCATAAGCTGATTCAAGTTTGAATCGTACATAAAGATGAGAATGCTATTATGGTTCTGTGTCCGTTTGTATCGATTTGCAGATGAGAGGAGAGCTTGGCAGCTTAAGCTTTCACTAAAAACAAATTCACAGCTTGTCTGGAAGCCACAGATGTCGACAAAACCATAAGCTGATTCAAATTTGAAGAAATTTTGGATCGTACTTAAAGATGAGAATACTATTATGATTCTGTGCCAGTTTGTATCGACTTACAGATGTGGGGCGAGCTTTGCAGCTTACGCTTTTACTAAAAGCAAATTCAGAGCTTGTTTGGATGTTACAGACGTGGATAAAACTATAAGCTGATCAAAATTGAATGACTTTTGAATCGTACTTGAAGATGAGAATACTATTATGGTTCTATGTCCGTTTGTATCAACTTGCAGATGAGAGGCGAGCTTTGCAGCTTAAGCTTTCACTAAAAGCAAATTCAGAGCTTGTCTGGAAGCCGCAAGTGTGGATAAAACCATAAGCTGATTCAAATTTGAATGACTTTCGGATCGCACTTAAAGATGAGAATACTATTATGGTTCTATGTCCGTTTGTATCAACTTGCAGATGAGAGGCGAGCTTTGCAGCTTAAGCTTTCACTAAAAACAAATTCAGAGCTTGTCTGGAAGCCACAAGTGTGGATAAAACCATAAGCTGATTCAAATTTGAATGACTTTCGGATCGTACTTAAAAATGAGAATGCTATTATGATTTTGTGCCCCTTTGAATCGACTCACAGATGTGGGGCAAGCTTTGCAGCTTACGCTTTCACTAAAGACAAATTCAGAGTTTGTTTGGATGCTACAGATGTGGATAAAACTCTAAGCTGATCAAATTTGAATGACTTTTGAATCGTACTTGAAGATGAGAATACTATTATGGTTCTGTGTCCGTTAGTATCAACTTGCAGATGAGAGGCGAGCTTTGCAGCTTAAGCTTTCACTAAAAACAAATTCACAGCTTGTCTGGAAGCCATAAGTGTGGATAAAACCATAAGCTGATTCAAATTTGAATGACTTTCGGATCGTACTTAAAGATGAGAATGCTATTATGATTCTGTGCCCATTTGAATCGACTCACAGATGTAAGGCGAGCTTTGCAGCTTACGCATTCACTAAAAACAAATTCAGAGCTTGTTTGGATGTTACAGATGCGGATAAAACTATAAGCTGATCAAATTTGAATGATTTTTGGATGGTACTTAAAGATGAGAATGCGATTATGGTTCTGTGCTTGTTTGTATCGACTTGCAGATGAGAGACGAGCTTTTTAGCTTACGTTTACACTAAAAACAAATTCAAAATTGAACTGGATGCCACTAATCTGGATAAAACTATAAAAATAAATGCAATTATGGTTCTGGGTCCGTTTGTATCGACTTACAGATGTGAGGCGAGCTTTCTAGTAATTAAACAATAATTCAGAACTGGGCTGTATGATATAGTAAAAATGTCAACATTTTATTCTTCACATGTACACAAAAAGATACCAAAGGCCTGAAACATAAAATTATTGCCAACTATTTTCTGTTTTTTTTTGTTAAGATGGAGTTCTGCCGAGAAACGGTGGGACAATAAGGGCTCCGTTTAAAAAAAATTGGGAACTGCTACACTACAGTATTGTTTTCTAAACCTTCGATATCTATGTACTCTTTCTATAATTTTTGTAATAACGAGTATCCCTTTTAAAACAAGTTCGTTTAGTTTAATAATTAAAATGAGTTATATACCCTTTTGTTTTTTATTAGTATCTACATAAACAAAATAACAATAAACGCGATTGTAATAATAGAAGGATAGAGTTTTTACCCTACAGCCTACAATTTCACATAAATATTTATCAGTACCGGTAACATTAAAAAATATGCATTATTTTTCTGTGTATGCCCCTCGTTTATATTTTTACTTAACAATCGCTAAGGTTAAAATGGATTTTATTTTCTAAATAAATGGAAAGGTACATATGTAAATACATATATGCAAATAAAGCACATGTAAAAGTTTCTCACGATTGTATGTTGTATTGCAAAAAAACTTGCTTATTACATAACAGGACCTGAATCTGGAAATAAGAGCCATTAACATTAATGGTGTACGTGCAAATAATTAGCTGTTAATTGCGAGAATAATTAGCACAACTTTTTGTCCTCGTTACATTTTATTGTCATTACGGAAATGTCGAAACAAACGTCAGTTATATAAAATAAGTACTGTTCACTTGAACTAAAGTCCTATTGTATAACGAATAAGTTTTACAATTCTTCTGCTTTTTTTTTAGATTAATTTTAGTTTTTAATGTAATAGTTTATTTTATTTTATATCTAAAAAATATTTTAATATGCTCATTTTAAATTATTGTAAATAAAGGATCCAGGTACAGTTTTTTTTAAAAAATTATTTTGGAATAAAAAATCAGCATAGTTATTACAGATTTTGGAAATAAATCATAAAGCCTAATGTAATGTGTATCATGATCTAGAAGCGAATTTGAGTTTTTCTTTATTTACGATTAACATTCATACATATCCACAGTCAGGGCTCTAGCGAAAGTATTTTGTTTAGTAGCACTAAATTGTTTATTTGTTTATCTGAAACATTCGTGACGTTTTTGT